CCCCTGCTGGGGATTTCCACTGCTGGGGCACAGCACAGGCCTCGACAGGAGCTCGAGATAATAAGTTTTTTCACCCATCAAATTACCGTCCATTGCGAAAGATGCTTAACATCCACGATCCCAAGTCGAATGCGTTAACCAATTGCGTAAAATATATAGCTTTTTTATCATTTTGGATTAAGCGTGCGCTAGCGAAGCACTCGTTGAAAGAATGGGATTAATCTTTGCCAAAAGCTTGAATCATTGAGTATTTTGTAATTTATCACGCATGATAAAATTATTAACTTCTTAAATCACCGAGGAAACATTGTCAGGAAAATAAATAACATCAATTAACTGAACTCTAAATAAAGAATAGAAAAGCTTGGGTCAGTTACGCAGTGTTTTTTGACAAAATACTAAGTTTTCTATTATTAAGGGGGGTAAAGGGTATTTAATGATACAGCATGCAATAAATTGAATTGAATTGAAGCATATTCGATAAAAGAAAGTAAACGCAGTTAAAAATATTTTTTGCACAGCAATATAAATTGCAAAAAAATCTTTAAATTTTGTGTATAAAAATCATAAAGTACTAAAAATATAAATACACATTCAGATAGATATTTATAAATGAAACTTTTTGATTTCATTATAAACAAACATTATGTTCATTCATCAAGCACTGTTGATTTTAATATCGTTCATTCTTTTAATGTCGCATCCCTAACTTTTGTGTTTGGGTAATAAAAATTGTTAGTGTGTGCGCGTTTTTTGTTTGTGTGACGTCATTTTTGAAGTGTACGTTTATAGAAACACGCTCGTGGATGTGTGAGACTGTGAGTATTGCATATTTTCGTTAGTGTGCTATACGTGTGTAGAGTCTGTGCGGAAAGAGAATGTGCGTGGCGAAAAACGGAACTAACATTAAGATTTTTATGTGACAATCAAACCCAGCAAACTGTAAAACGTCAAAGTTTTGTATTGATACGCATTTGTTTGTTGTTGTGATTTCTTGCGGTTTTTTGTATTTAATCATATCTAAAAGGGGTAAAACCTTACAAATACGGTAGAAAAGCACTACAGCGCCCTCCAATCTATATCCCATTCTTTTTCCGCACACTACCTCGTCCATTACCTATTATTACTAAAAGTGGCGGAAAATGTTGGTATGGTAACGGTATGGCATCACCGTCAGTGTTGCCAACTCGGATTTTGAAAAAGGCGTAGGCCCGATGAGAAAATTACGTAGAATTGGTAATTTTTGCATATGAAAAGTACGTAGATCTACGTACTTTTTTCTGAGTGAAATGAAGAAGCTAGGCGAAACCGAATAAAACGAGTATTTTGTTATACAATTTCTTTGAAAACGGGAGATAGAACAAAGAGTTCTTGGAGAAGTCGCAGCATTGGAAGCATTTACCATGCCGTGGTAGACATTTTGACACAGACACTGGTCAAAGGTGAAGACACTGGTGTCGATTCTGGCATGATTCTCTATATTTAAAACTAAATTTAACATCAGTCTCTCCTTTCCATTCTGTATAGAGAATGACAAGGATAAACTGTTGTTAAATAGACTAGTTGACACTTTTTGGAATTATGTTTAAAATTCTTAGTAATTGTTTTATCACACCGAAAAAAATGTATTTTTTTTACCCAGAAGACATACAAAAACGCTATTTAGTCTATAGACTTATCGATGCTATGACGTCAAAACATTTGTAAACAAACACTCGCAAGCACGTAGGTAAAAAAAACTTTCTGAGTTAATATTATAAAACCATGATTTCTAATAGATCACATGAAAATATAGTAGTTATCATGATACACTTGGTAAAAGACTAGAAAAGTTGTGGTTTAAATTGTGTGCCAAGAGAAATAAACATACTTACACATGAACACATGTTTAAAACTTGCTAAATCCTGTAACTTTATCGACTGAGAGTCATTTCATTTTGCAAAGATCAATTCAATGTAAGTACTCATTAAATAATATTTAAAGTTTAAAAATACAATTTTTAAGGTTATGACTGTACCTTAGTAGGTACTAAGTCAAAGAGTTTTGTTGTTTCTGCTTTCACAAATCCTGCGTCCAGCATTAATTTAGTCAACAAAACCAATAACGTGAACCTTTTCTACAAGAAACAAGAGTTTTTAGATATATCTTTATAAGAAATAAACATTTGTATAATTTTTAAGTAAAGTAACGGAAAATATTCTTCTTTATTCTAGTGAATTAAGTTATTTTACAAATTTGAAAAAATTAAAGAAAATACGTAGATTCTGGGACTGAAGTTAGTAGGTTTGCAGAAAAGGCCTAAAATACGTAGATCTACGTAAAAAGACGTAGAGTTGGCAACACTGATCACCGTTGGTATATGCTTTTTTAAGATTCTCCCTATTCACGGAAGGCCAAGTGAACAAAGCCCATACAGCCTTGTCTTAAGTTTATTATTAGAATGTTGGTGTGTCGCTTTCTAATGATTTTTGGAGTGTTGAGCACGAAATTTATCGAGTTGGTATAGTAATAAAAATTATAACTATAATTGCTATTTCTTCTCCAAATCTTTAATACTTGTAAAAGTATTCATTTGATATCGTGGGTTACAATGTGAAGAGATGGCGCTGCCTTGCAGCTTAAGAAAGGCTAGAAAAAATTCGAAACGGCCATCAGGGCCGCGGTAGCATAATTGGTCAGTGCATTAATTAACCCGGATAGCAATGGGTGTGGGTTCGAGTTCCGTCTGCTGCCTGGTCCGCGTGGATTTTTTTCTAGTAATATTTTCTTTAGATTTAAACATCGAGCAGTTACATGCTGAAAAAATAAAAATTATAACTATAATTGCTATTTCTTCTTTCAAATGTTTAATACTTGTAAAAGTATTCATTTGACATTGTGTGTAGGGGCCGTTACTAGGACCCTAACGACTGTCAATTTGTCAATTAGTCACGGGACGATTGTCAGGAGATAATTATTAAAATACGTCAATATGCTGTGAATGCCTTTATTGCACTGTCATATAATGTAAAATATTGTTCTTAAAAAAAATTAGTGGGTCAACTGTGTCAGCAGTTTAGAGTGCATCGATTCGGAATGCAAACTTAATAAAATATAATTAAAATGGCTTGTACATTGTGGGTTACCTACAACGCGAAGAGATAGCGCTGCCTTGCAGCTTAAGAAAGGCTAGAAGGAATTCGACACGGCCGTCAGAGCCGCGGTAGCATAATTGGTTAGTACATTCTCCCGGATAACGAAGGGTGCGGATTAAGCGCTGGATTTAAGCTAAAATATTTTTTACACATACGAGCTAGCTAGAGTAAAAATAAGTTGGAAGGTTTTTTTGAAGAGGAAAAAAAAGTGCCTTAGCTTAGAGGATTAAACATACTGTGGATCTCCGAGACGATAAATTTTACCTGCGACGTCGTGTCCATTAAATGTAATTTCTGCCAACTATTTTATTTTTCCGTAAGAATCACAAATTAGGTATACTAGACTAAAGTAGTACAACTTAAATTATTTGGGATATACCGTACTTTCCGGGCCAAAGAGTAGAAAATTTCAGGCAGAACCATCGTTTAAGGCGCTTTGCAGACGGCGGGGCGGAGCGGGCCGGTCAATTTCGACGCACACAGAGGGCAAAAAAACCGCGCCTTGGGTGCCCGGCGGGCACTGGCGGCGCGGCATGTCCGCGGCTGCCCGCCGTGGATCATACAAACCAGTTTATATGCAGTAACGCAGACGGCGGCGCGAGGCGGTCAGCTCAGTCCGCGCCACGCGCTTTTTAGTGATGGACTATTCACTAGAACGAACGTCCTCAACTGACCGCCTCTGCCCGTCGTGTGCTTTGTGTACGCGGCGAGGGCAGCCGCAGACATCGACGGGCAGACGCGGTTTTTATTGCTTCGAGGACAAAAAGCCCGCCCCGTCCCGTCGTCTGCAAAGCGTCTTAGATTACCAGTTTGAAAACGAATATATTTGAAAGGACATTGCTCGTTCCCCATACATTGAATGCCCTAGAACGCCCAGCAATGAGAAAATGCTAGTTGTGTTCGGAATCATTCATAAACTCTAATTAGGCATTTGTTGAGATACGGACAACTTGAGGAACCGTGGCCTACTACAGAATGTATTAGATTTTGAGGTTATAATTATTATACTTAATCGTAAAAGATGTAGGTACACTTTATATATTCTGAATAGATTTTGTGTTTACCTCTATGTAAGCACTTAAATAATATGCATTAATTGAACATAAAATGCAATTAATATTAAAAATAATAAAATAATGCTTATATTCATATTGATTAATGAGTGTTGTCAGTTGGCACCTATGATACCTATACCTTACCTGTAGTAATAATAGATTTCTTTTCAAATGAAATGTTCAGTCTTTCCATTTACCTGTTTCTATATTTTACTATCGGTAATTAGGTATGTACCTGGTTATCATTATGATTTTCATAAAAATAAACAGATATTACATGGGATGGGAGTATAAACTATTTTTACATAATTTCAGAAATAATCTTTTTATAAATATAATACTAGTAATAAGTATTATTAACTAAGGTACCTAGTTCTATTTTTATTTTTTTGTTGATAAATACCTATGGTCACTATATTGCAATTATTAAGGTAAACAATTTTGGCACAACGTTTTTAACAGAATCACCCATTTAATAATAAAATATTAACGAAGCCAATAAACTATCAAAATAAATCGTTATTACAGACTGAAACCTATTGAATCCAGTTATCAGTTGATTTTTAATGATGTATTTTCAATAAAAGGAGTGCCAAGTTGGATTAACAGACTGTAGTATCTAGTAACAGAACTTTTATTTTTTTAAACAGATTGTCCGTTTACTATGATTAATTGCTAACAAGTTAAAAAAATAATAGAAAAATAATAGTGAAGGACATTCTTTTGGGCATGCTAGGGCCGATTTCGTCGATGTCCTTTATTTAATAGAAGTGTTAAAATTAAGTTTATAAACGCTTAATTTAGTTTTATTAACGCATTGCTATAAAAATGAAACAATCATTTATTTTTTAATAAGGCAATATTTTATTACATGTTTAGATACAAAAAAAAAATGTACATTTACATTTATAAAACAAATGTTTTCAACAATACATGAATGAAAAAGTTTTGTTAGTGCGATTTCTCTGATCAGTCATTAAGTTAAAATAGTGAAAGTCAAGTACAAATTAACTTTACTTCGAAAGTTCCTTGGCAAAAACAACCTGGCAGTCTCACATAGACCACATGATAGATCACACGATTGTACTGATGAGAAAAGACAATGCATTGATAGCCTCATATCATATAACTGATTATTAAGTATCAAAAGTGTACAATCAAAACACAATTAACAATAAAACAATAATAATTATGCTAAAACAATCAAATATTTAGTCAATGTGCAACTATGATTTAATAATGTATTTGGTAATATATGTTACCGGCAATCTGTATAATTCGGTATTCTATACAATACCTAGGCAATTTTTAAAATCCCATAATCGTCGGAAACATATGAATCTGTTTATTTTACACACTACCGGTGAGCCAGCGAGTACTCTATACAATCCATAGGAATCTTATACATTACCAAGGGAAAGGATAAAATGGAAAATAAAATTTATAATATTCCATACATCGCCTAAATGTCCCAGGTATTCTATACATTGTCTAGCCGTTGTATAGAACACCTGCATTATACAGATAGCCGGAGACATGGACACGAACAAGCGGGGTCTACATGGAAACAAAGAAATTCATTCTTCGATTAACTTTAATTTCATTATTATTTATTGTCCACGATAGCGTTCCAGCTATCGAAAAACTGTCGTGCAGCCCCTCTAGCATGACCACCGAAACGGGATATGATAAAGCGATATATCGACATTAACTGTCAGACTCCACTGTAGTCTGACAATTAATGCCGATATATCGCTTTATCATATCCCGTTACGGTGGTCATGTCATGCTAGAGGGGCCGGGCCTCGGTCGACCGTCGAGTCCGTCGATATCGGTGGGCGGCGGTCAGAAGACTGCGATGTGAGTGCGGGGCACGGCGGCGAGCCCGTCGTCCCAGGTGAGCATGGCGTTGAAGGAGAGGTAGAGCGCGGCGGCGGACAGCATGTGCCACAGGTCGTGCGCGTCGTAGAACTGCAGCACCATGCAGGCGTGGTTGAGGTGCCGCGACGATATCGGTGGGCGGCGGTCAGAAGACTGCGATGTGAGTGCGGGGCACGGCGGCGAGCCCGTCGTCCCAGGTGAGCATGGCGTTGAAGGAGAGGTAGAGCGCGGCGGCGGACAGCATGTGCCACAGGTCGTGCGCGTCGTAGAACTGCAGCACCATGCAGGCGTGGTTGAGGTGCCGCGACGCCGCCGGGGACGCCGACCACGACGACGACCCGAACGTGAACAGGTACAGCGCCGGCACCCAGCACAACGCCGCGCCTGCACGACGCAACATTGACTTGATTGATAAAATAATATATCTTATACTATAACAATGAACCTAAAACTAAAAACCTTAAAAAATAAAATATAATAACTAAAATGCATTATTAAAAGGAGTCCCTTTAGGCAAGGTTCCGAAGATACTGGCAGCGTTCCCCCTTTGGATAGCTAGACTAATTCTTTGTCCGAGGTAGCTGCCGGCTCTTCGGTCTCCTGTGATGTCGACTAATCTTTTCGCTATTTCTTTAAAAAGCCTTATAGCGCTAGGACCCCACGGACCAAGGGTCTCGACACCGAATGGGACAAAATCATATTCGGAAAAAAAAAAAATGATAAACATTACCAACTCGCACAGTTAGCCTAGCCCGGGGGGCCGTTCGCCTAACGGAAATATTAAGATGTGTTGGGGGGGAAACGAGGTGCGCGGGTGGTCATGCCCTGCGCTGATTGTCTTTCCAGTCGTACACATGCGCAAGCGCAGCTATCCCTGACGCGGTTTGTTCAGTGCTAGAGTTAGGTGCCGCGACCTGTATCGTACACTCGCGGAAACACCCGCTCTGTCACCCATAATGTCATAATCGCTTGCGGTAGCGGCGTAGTAAAAATTCATTCATAGACATCTAATTATCGCTGTCTTACTTTTAGGTATAGCGCGGTCGCGATCACGATGCGGATGACAAATTGCAACTAAAACAAATGCAATTCTGTCTTACTTTTGTGCGGCGACCCGGATTGGCGCATCCGACGCGAAGGCGGAGCGTAGTAAAAACTACTGTAGAAAACCGTTCAAAGCATTTTGTTCGCCAAGTGACAGAGCGCAAAATTCCGCGATAGTACAAGCGAGCGTGAGGAGCTCGATGGCGCAAGTGGTTAGCGCGTTCGGCTGCGATCGTTGAACTTAAGCAACTTTCGCAGTGGTCGGTCATTGGATGGGTGACCAAAAATTACTATCTCGAGCTAATCTGTGCTTCGGAAGGCACGTTAAGCCGTTGGTCCCGGCTGCATCTGCAGTCGTTAGCACCCACCAATCCGCACTGGGCCCGCGTGGTGGGTCACGGCCCAATCTCCCTATTCCATCCATAGGGAAGGCCTGTGCCCCAGCAGTGGGGACATTAATAGGCTGATGATGATGATGATGATGACAAGCGATCTATGATCACCCCTCTTAGTTGTTTCTTCGTTCCGTGTAATATACCGTACCAGTGGTGTAGGCCCACGCGTACCAGCGCGGTCGCTCGCCGTGCAGCAGCTTCATGACGAGGTAGAAGCACATGTACAGCAGAGTGTTGCCCAGTGTAATATACCGTACCGATGGTGTAGGCCCACGCGTACCAGCGCGGTCGCTCGCCGTGCAGCAGCTTCATGACGAGGTAGAAGCACATGTACAGCAGAGTGTTGCCCAGTGTAATATACCGTACCGATGGTGTAGGCCCACGCGTACCAGCGCGGTCGCTCGCCGTGCAGCAGCTTCATGACGAGGTAGAAGCACATGTACAGCAGAGTGTTGCCCAGTGTAATATACCGTACCGATGGTGTAGGCCCACGCGTACCAGCGCGGTCGCTCGCCGTGCAGCAGCTTCATGACGAGGTAGAAGCACATGTACAGCAGAGTGTTGCCCAGTGTAATATACCGTACCGATGGTGTAGGCCCACGCGTACCAGCGCGGTCGCTCGCCGTGCAGCAGCTTCATGACGAGGTAGAAGCACATGTACAGCAGAGTGTTGCCCAGTGTAATATACCGTACCGATGGTGTAGGCCCACGCGTACCAGCGCGGTCGCTCGCCGTGCAGCAGCTTCATGACGAGGTAGAAGCACATGTACAGCAGAGTGTTGCCCAGTGTAATATACCGTACCGATGGTGTAGGCCCACGCGTACCAGCGCGGTCGCTCGCCGTGCAGCAGCTTCATGACGAGGTAGAAGCACATGTACAGCAGAGTGTTGCCCAGTGTAATATACCGTACCGATGGTGTAGGCCCACGCGTACCAGCGCGGTCGCTCGCCGTGCAGCAGCTTCATGACGAGGTAGAAGCACATGTACAGCAGAGTGTTGCCCAGCAGCACGTACAGCAGGTGCGACGCGAAGTCCGCGCTCTGCCTGAACAACCTGCGCATCGATCCGAACGACATCAATAATAACCTTTTCATCCCACCACCTCGGAAAGTGTAATTTTGCGCTTCGAAATCTGGCTGGAAAATTCTATTTTATTCGCTTGAGCGGCAAAGTAGATTTGAATTTAGAACATCACATATAATGAGTACTCAATATAATTGTAAATTCAAAACGTCATTAAACCTATTTAATGTAACCTCTATGGTGCCAAATTTATGATTAGAACTTTTTAAATTGTGAAAAAATTTAAATTTGGAACCTTCTTGGTTTCTTTGTTTTATTTGCGTGCTTCGCGCCATTCTAGTTTTTCACGTTTTATTGCTTAAATATTTTGTCATTATAAATTGTTTTCTTTTTCATTTTGTCATTTCCTCGCTGAGGTGGGATGAAAAGTTACGTATTGCACTCGAGTGGAAAGATTTTTCACCTTGTGCTCGTTTGTTTCCCTCGCTGACGCTCAGGATTCTAATTTAGAATCACTCGCTGCGCTCGTGATTCAACTTTAGAATCCTTCGCTTGCTCGGTCATCCAAATCGAGCACGCGGTTAAAAAGGAACTTTCCACTCTTGTATAATAAATAACTATTTCAACACATCTAAACTTATAATAAATCTGTAGAGAGGTCAATTCTGTACATGAAATATATTTTCAAAACAACTATCAGGGGGTGATTAGTGATCGATACTGATGCCAAAAATGCAATCAGTAAAATTTTTGTCTGTTTGTCTGTATGTGTGTATGTTCCTTATAGAAACAAAAACTACTCGACGGATTTTAACGAAACTTGGTACAATTATTCTTCATACTCCTGGGCAGGTTATAGTATACTTTTCATCACGCTACAATCAATAGCAGCAGAGTAGTGAAGGGAAATGTTGGGAAAACGGGAGAAGTTACTCCATTTTTTAAGCTTCCGTCGCGTGTGCAGCCTTAATGGTTAAAGTTACACAAAAATATTCTACATAAAATTGTCTAAAAAATATCCCGCAACAGCATATGTCTATCTTTTATAGTTGACTCACAATAACAGGTGTAATTATATAAATAAAGTCATTGTTTATAGCACAAGCCTGAGAACAAAAATTATAGTTTACACTACAGCTCTACACCGAAGCGAAGCGAGGGCGGGCCACTAGTTTGCTAATAAAATGGGTTGTGTACCTATATTGTTTGAAAGTTAAAAAATACAAGTTGAACTAGCCACACAGTCAACAATAACCTATAGTTCGTCATTATTATGGTATATTCACGTGCCCCCTCTACTATATTCTCTGTTAAAAGAAACGAGTTTCTTGAGCACAGCTTTCTTTATGACACAATCGTTCAAAAACAGAAGGATGGAAAATGAGGACAAACGGGAGCTGCGATTGTCAGTGTAATAATAATACCGTAACTTGAAAACTGACATTGACAGCCAAACTTATACGGTTCGAGAGAGAGAGAGCAATCCGGCTCGATGACTAAAGATGATTTGCGAATGGTTGAGTTTTAAACAGTTTAATGGTTAATGTAGTAGAACAAGAGTTTCTTCCAGTTTGTGTTGCTAAGTCCATTTTGTACGTCCATGTGAAAGTGTTCGTATGGACAATGTTAATCCAGTAGCGCGATGGCCCAGTTGAGCGCGTTGGCGATGAGCAGCAGCACGAGGCGCGCGGTGTACAGCGGCCGCAGCCCGAGGCCGGGTTGTAGACGAGCTAGGTGTCGGTAATGTTACCCTAGCAGCGCGATGGCCCAGTTGAGCGCGTTGGCGATGAGCAGCAGCACGAGGCGCGCGGTGTACAGCGGCCGCAGCCCGAGGCCGGGTTGTAGACGAGCTAGGTGTCGGTAATGTTACCCTAGCAGCGCGATGGCCCAGTTGAGCGCGTTGGCGATGAGCAGCAGCACGAGGCGCGCGGTGTACAGCGGCCGCAGCCCGAGGCCGGGTTGTAGACGAGCTAGGTGTCGGTAATGTTACCCTAGCAGCGCGATGGCCCAGTTGAGCGCGTTGGCGATGAGCAGCAGCACGAGGCGCGCGGTGTACAGCGGCCGCAGCCCGAGGCCGGGTTGTAGACGAGCTAGGTGTCGGTAATGTTACCCTAGCAGCGCGATGGCCCAGTTGAGCGCGTTGGCGATGAGCAGCAGCACGAGGCGCGCGGTGTACAGCGGCCGCAGCCCGAGGCCGGGTTGTAGACGAGCTAGGTGTCGGTAATGTTACCCTAGCAGCGCGATGGCCCAGTTGAGCGCGTTGGCGATGAGCAGCAGCACGAGGCGCGCGGTGTACAGCGGCCGCAGCCCGAGGCCGGGTTGTAGACGAGCTAGGTGTCGGTAATGTTACCCTAGCAGCGCGATGGCCCAGTTGAGCGCGTTGGCGATGAGCAGCAGCACGAGGCGCGCGGTGTACAGCGGCCGCAGCCCGAGGCCGGGTTGTAGACGAGCTAGGTGTCGGTAATGTTACCCTAGCAGCGCGATGGCCCAGTTGAGCGCGTTGGCGATGAGCAGCAGCACGAGGCGCGCGGTGTACAGCGGCCGCAGCCCGAGGCCGGGTTGTAGACGAGCTAGGTGTCGGTAATGTTACCCTAGCAGCGCGATGGCCCAGTTGAGCGCGTTGGCGATGAGCAGCAGCACGAGGCGCGCGGTGTACAGCGGCCGCAGCCCGAGGCCGGGTTGTAGACGAGCTAGGTGTCGGTAATGTTACCCTAGCAGCGCGATGGCCCAGTTGAGCGCGTTGGCGATGAGCAGCAGCACGAGGCGCGCGGTGTACAGCGGCCGCAGCCCGAGGCCGGGGTTGTCACGCAGCTGCCGCGCCGCGCGTTGAATCGTCTCTTTCTCTGTACACATATTATCCAATCATCACAACGTTACTTCTGATCTAGCATTATTCTCTAAAACATTTATTAAGACCCTTTTCCATTACTTTTAGGTTCCTGTATAGGGTCAGTCTTACGACTATGGAACTTTAAAGGATTGCAAACGTCAGTTGAACGGCAAAAATTATAAACGCACTTTTTACCCATTCTTAAATGTGGTTTTTAAGGATTGGGTTGTGTGACAACATAACAAATAATTATGATTATATAAACTTTAAACTAATTAGCTAGCTATTATTTAAAATATATCTTTAGGTACATAAATGCCACCCGATGTTGAGTAGTGGAAGAGGTTAAGAGTGAAAATAGCTGGTGCAGTAATTTTTAATCACTACACTACCCAATTTCACCTTGCCAGCTTGAACAGCAGGTTTTTTTTATATAGTATGTATGTATTCACCGAAGCGGAACTGGCCCAGGTAGTAGATGCGCAGGGACAGCAGCAGGAACGTGAACACGTGCAGCACCGTGAACACGCCCCAGAACAGAGTATATGTCACTATATATGTATGTATGTATTCACCGAAGCGGAACTGGCCCAGGTAGTAGATGCGCAGGGACAGCAGCAGGAACGTGAACACGTGCAGCACCGTGAACACGCCCCAGAACAGAGTATATGTCACTATATATGTATGTATGTATTCACCGAAGCGGAACTGGCCCAGGTAGTAGATGCGCAGGGACAGCAGCAGGAACGTGAACACGTGCAGCACCGTGAACACGCCCCAGAACAGAGTATATGTCACTATATATGTATGTATGTATTCACCGAAGCGGAACTGGCCCAGGTAGTAGATGCGCAGGGACAGCAGCAGGAACGTGAACACGTGCAGCACCGTGAACACGCCCCAGAACAGAGTATATGTCACTATATATGTATGTATGTATTCACCGAAGCGGAACTGGCCCAGGTAGTAGATGCGCAGGGACAGCAGCAGGAACGTGAACACGTGCAGCACCGTGAACACGCCCCAGAACAGAGTATATGTCACTATATATGTATGTATGTATTCACCGAAGCGGAACTGGCCCAGGTAGTAGATGCGCAGGGACAGCAGCAGGAACGTGAACACGTGCAGCACCGTGAACACGCCCCAGAACAGAGTATATGTCACTATATATGTATGTATGTATTCACCGAAGCGGAACTGGCCCAGGTAGTAGATGCGCAGGGACAGCAGCAGGAACGTGAACACGTGCAGCACCGTGAACACGCCCCAGAACAGCGCGCCGCCCCCCACCACGCCCCACACCACTGATATCAAACGTAACACAGTTAAACTTCAACTCTCAAACTCCTCAAACTCAAAAACTCCACTCGGACAGACAGGATTCGAACCTGCACCTACCGCTGTTCAGGCGGGTTGACTACGCAATTATGCTATCGGGACCCCAATTTCTTGTTTCTTTTTCACGGTCAGTATCAGACTGTCATCTCGTCTCAAACATATGGAATGGAAAATAGTCATGTTGGGAGTTAGCTGATTGAATTGAAATATGTAGATAATGGACTAAGCGAACCCTGAATAAATATAAAGTGAAACTGGGCAGACGCGAGAGAGAAGAGAGAGAGAGAGAGAGAGAGAGAGAGAGAATCATTTTTATTGACCACATCATAAATTTACAAATCAACATACAAAAAAAAATAAGAAAATATACATAATGGAGAAAAGAAGAAAAAAAATAAAGTACCATTTGTGGTCAATCAGGACCCTGCCTCAGCGTAATGCTGCCGCAACATGCTATAAAACGTGTCACAGCAGCGCTGGTATTCTGGCAGGGCCTGTTATGCCAGAACCTCACATGGCCAATCGCATCCGCCTCGATAGCAGTTCCTTCCTCTCACTGCCCGTTATGGATACATATCTATCAAATAGCAAACACGATTAGCCACATGACGTGCCAGCACAAGGTTAAGCAAAGCGATCGGCTTATAGTTTGTTGGTTGTCTTATCTTTTATCCCAAATCGAACACATTAACTGACATCGCTTTCGAGCTTCTCATCATCACCTTCCTTCTATATCTCATTCGGTTGCGTGCCCGACAGGATCCATAATGATCATTTTTTGTCCTACCTAATATCTTGTTGTGTATTGTGCATGAGTAATAAAATATACAATTAAATCACCAGTTTTGGGGGTATCCAAACTGTAAGAAGAAATGTTCGAAAAGCTAGGTCTATGAGGATAACATTTCTTACTATCTAAAGGGTTGTCAATTTTACGCGAGTACCGCTCAGTCCAATAAATTCTTTATCTACGACTGATTGTATTTTGGGGTCGGATTTTGAGATGTGGTGGATCGAAGAAACCATTCGAGACATGTCGGAATTTGTTTATTGAAGTGAAAACTCTTTAGCGGCGTTGTACCATTTTTTTTGTATGGGGAAAAATATTAAACTCGCGTCTGGATAAACACGTGGGCTGATCGCATCATGACACACAATAAAATTGGAAAGGTTGTTAACTTTCAATATGTATATTACTAAGTCTCTATCTAGGACGTCCACGTGGCAGCTTTATTGCGAAGAAAATGCATTTTTTTACAATAGATGTCGCTAAGTGCTCTTAAACGAGATTTTGTAAGTTGATTTTTCTGAGAGATAAACTTTTTTAAATGTAATATAAATTGTCATGTTTGTGTACGATAGCGCAATAAATAAATATTGTATTTTACCACATACATGATAGTACTTTTATACTGATAATTAAAGCAATTCGTGCAAAACTATTCCCTAACCATTCAAAAATATCAAAAATGCACAACGGTAATATTCAAGTTTTCACTTCTGCCGACACTCCCGGAGTGCAACCTATGTTTTTTTTTATTTCATTTGTAGTGGTCTGTCTTTTGTGAGGTCCCCGTCTAGCCCGCTTCTTAATTAGCCCTGTTAATGATGCAGTGGTATATAACATATGTATGTATGTGTATGCGGGGCACTCACCGAGCGCGATGAGTACCGCCAGCACGCCGAAGGTGGCGTGCGCGCGCGCGTTGACGTCGGGGTGCCGCGACTGGTAGATCTTCACCATGCTCAGCACTGCCAGCACGTACATAAACGACGTATCTGCATAGGGTGATAATGTTGAATCCGCTCCTACTGGCCGCAGCTTGATGTTATATAGCCTTAAGCCTTCCTCAATAAATGTACTTTCTAACACGAACATAGTTATTTTTAAATTGAACCTGTACTGATGTATCAGTATATGTATTCTATCCGTTACCCTAGCATTCCATATCACAAGCCTTATAGTGCTTATTTTGGGGCTAGGCTAATTGGTGTGTGTGTTAAATATATATTACCCGCATAACAATAATAGGCTCAATTCACAGTGCTGCAGACGAAGCGACGCGACGCGTTATTTTTTTTTAATAATTCATGACAATGGATACGTGTCCTTCAGCCGTATACATAAATACAAATCTTAATCTTCTTGTTTACATAAGAATGTCGATGTGACGCATTCTAATGTTTCTTGGAGTGTTTAGCATGAAATATGTCGAGTTCGTTTTTTCGATTAGCTTCTGTGAGGTAGTCAACACTACAATAATGTTATCACGTCCACTTGACCGGAATAGCGTATATTTTAAAGATTCCACCAATTCTTCAGTTGCGCAGATGGTTGTAATACAAAATTACACCAATTTTATTTCACAATATCCACTATGAACGAATTTAAGAATAATTGAAATAAGACGCCAACCGCACTCGATAAAATCCCGCCAAAACTCCCGACGCGTTATGGTTTCCTGTGTTTTGCCTGTAGCAAATTCATCTCTATTTTTCCAATAATAAGGTATATTATTGTAGGTAGGTAAATTCATCTCTATTTTTCCACTCATAAGGTATATATTCCCTATTATTCGACGTGCGTGCCGACGTTTTCGTAGGGTCGGGCGGTTTCACGCGTCGCCAAGCAGACGTCGCGCGAAGTGATGAGTGTAATGCCGACCAACCAGACACGCGAAAAAGAGGACGCGACGCGACGCTTCGACTCTACTCCAGTAAGAATTGAGGCATAATGTATAAGTTCGTGTATCGGACAAGGAGTGGCAAATTATGTTATACTATTTTAGCGGTGAGATTTACACATCATTTGCCGCTCTATATCGACAGATGGCGCTACCGGCGCAGCGCTCTAAAAGTTTGGAAGCTTACATCGCGAAAGTGAAATTCGGAGGATAAAACTTCATAAATGTAATGGCCGACGAACATTAATCGAGCAAAATCAGCATATTTAGTAGTAAATATTAAAATATTTAGTGCTATTCAAAGTTTGGAGCGGTTGTGAAGTCAACATCGAGCGCACATTGGCGCAGGTTTCAGTCAATAAAACCTCGCGCGTACTTAAAAACTTGGGCAAACTTCGTACACGCTAATGGGCTTAAATCGCACTTTGCTTTGGTTCATCATCATCAGCCTATTAATGTCCCCTCTGCTGGGGCACAGGCCTTCCCTATGGATGGAATAGGGAGATTGGGCCATGACCCACCACGCGGGCCCAGTGCGGATTGGTGGGTGCTAACGACTGCAAATGCAGCCGGGACCAACGGCTTAACGTGCTAGCCACCTGCGCCATCGGGCTCCTCAGTGAGATACAAAAATAAGGAGAAGCAGAGAAATCGTAGATACCGGATAATCGTTAAAAATGCGCCATAAAAATATAGATGGGGAAACTCTACAAAAAATGTCTGTCTTAACAAAAATTCAGTCGCATTCAAATACGGCAATTGAAATAGATCTCAAATTTGTTATCAGTAAATTACATGCTTACCGAACTGGAAATTGAGCCGGTTGGGGCACACGTGGTAGCTGGCGGACAGCAGCGCCACCACCATCATGCCGGCGCCCAGCGCCGCCAGCAGCCCGTAGTGAGCCGGGATGCCGTAATCCTACGCGATCAAACATTTACATATTGACATTTTTGTATTTGAATTTTTAGCTCTGAGGTAAAACGCCTCATTTCAAATGGAGATGGTTTTTGAGAAGTTTCCATTTCAAAATATCTTTTGATAAGTTATCAAAGTTATAAATTATTCATTCCACCAACTGTATCAATTTTTATACACTCGGCGTCAAAAATCGCACCTTCGTGAAAATAACTTTCAAGCGTTATTAACACGCGCATGTACCCCCATCAATATTGGTGTCATTGAAAGCCCATTAAATAAACAACAAAGAAATCCCATGTCTCCCAGCAGCAGGTAGCCGAGTGTATGAGGCACACAGTGACGGGACGCGCCTCGTGACGGGGGTGCAGGGCGCGGGCGCGGCGCCGGCGCTGCAGCTGCAGTATGAACAGCGCGCCCAGCAGCAGGTAGCCGAGTGTATGAGGCACACAGTGACGGGACGCGCCTCGTGACGGGGGTGCAGGGCGCGGGCGCGGCGCCGGCGCTGCAGCTGCAGTATGAACAGCGCGCCCAGCAGCAGGTAGCCGAGTGTATGAGGCACACAGTGACGGGACGCGCCTCGTGACGGGGGTGCAGGGCGCGGGCGCGGCGCCGGCGCTGCAGCTGCAGTATGAACAGCGCGCCCAGCAGCAGGTAGCCGAGTGTATGAGGCACACAGTGACGGGACGCGCCTCGTGACGGGGGTGCAGGGCGCGGGCGCGGCGCCGGCGCTGCAGCTGCAGTATGAACAGCGCGCCCAGCAGCAGGTAGCCGAGTGTATGAGGCACACAGTGACGGGACGCGCCTCGTGACGGGGGTGCAGGGCGCGGGCGCGGCGCCGGCGCTGCAGCTGCAGTATGAACAGCGCGCCCAGCAGCAGGTAGCCGAGTGTATGAGGCACACAGTGACGGGACGCGCCTCGTGACGGGGGTGCAGGGCGCGGGCGCGGCGCCGGCGCTGCAGCTGCAGTATGAACAGCGCGCCCAGCAGCAGGTAGCCGAGTGTATGAGGCACACAGTGACGGGACGCGCCTCGTGACGGGGGTGCAGGGCGCGGGCGCGGCGCCGGCGCTGCAGCTGCAGTATGAACAGCGCGCCCAGCAGCAGGTAGCCGAGTGTATGAGGCACACAGTGACGGGACGCGCCTCGTGACGGGGGTGCAGGGCGCGGGCGCGGCGCCGGCGCTGCAGCTGCAGTATGAACAGCGCGCCCAGCAGCAGGTAGCCGAGTGTATGAGGCACACAGTGACGGGACGCGCCTCGTGACGGGGGTGCAGGGCGCGGGCGCGGCGCCGGCGCTGCAGCTGCAGTATGAACAGCGCGCCCAGCAGCAGGTAGCCGAGTGTATGAGGCACACAGTGACGGGACGCGCCTCGTGACGGGGGTGCAGGGCGCGGGCGCGGCGCCGGCGCTGCAGCTGCAGTATGAACAGCGCGCCCAGCAGCAGGTAGCCGAGTGTATGAGGCACACAGTGACGGGACGCGCCTCGTGACGGGGGTGCAGGGCGCGGGCGCGGCGCCGGCGCTGCAGCTGCAGTATGAACAGCGCGCCCAGCAGCAGGTAGCCCAGGTTGGAGTACACGTGGTTGAAGTCGGACAGCAGCCCGGCGGGGTGCGCGCACAGGAAGTTGTAGTAGCACACGTCCAGCGAGCCCGACACGTTCACGAACTGAAACCATACAACGCGACGGTGATATTTCTCGATGAGATAGTACTGGCAATGATTTAAACGAAATATATAAAACAGGTGTGTGGAAATTATCCTGCAAATTGTCATAATGATATAATACATGTTTTTGACTATCCAAAATTCTAAGTAAAGTATGGCGAATCGACACTAATGAAGAAGAAAATAATCTCAGACCATAAATGGGAAAGGTTTAAAATAACAACTGTATGACGTTTAATGGGAATCTTACCGCTTCGATTGACGCACGGCGTCCAATATGAAGACAGTCCAACTCATTACCGAAGAACTGTTCGAGTAGGACTACACGAGAATTATTATCCAAATAAATAGGCGGCAAGAGGCGACTGATTTGACGCGTGCATACAGCGATGCTACTTTGGCTTTTCTATGAAAAGAAGACGAGTGACTCACGATCTGGAAGGTGAAGACGATCTGCAGCACCGGCAGCGAGTAGAACACAGCTACCGTGAGCAGCGTAGTGAGGTAGCGGTCGGCGCGCGCCTTCAGCACTCGCGCGCGCCGCCGGGACAGCGCCGCCACGTGCAGCCGCGCCGGCAGACCGAACGGGGACTGACACGGAACATTCATCATCATCATCATCATCATCATCATCATCATCATCATCATCATCATCATCATCATCATCATCAGTGAGGTAGCGGTCGGCGCGCGCCTTCAGCACTCGCGCGCGCCGCCGGGACAGCGCCGCCACGTGCAGCCGCGCCGGCAGACCGAACGGGGACTGACACGGAACATTCATCATCATCATCATCATCATCATCATCATCATCATCATCATCAGTGAGGTAGCGGTCGGCGCGCGCCTTCAGCACTCGCGCGCGCCGCCGGGACAGCGCCGCCACGTGCAGCCGCGCCGGCAGACCGAACGGGGACTGACACGGAACATTCATCATCATCATCATCATCATCATCATCATCATCATCATCATCATCATCAGTGAGGTAGCGGTCGGCGCGCGCCTTCAGCACTCGCGCGCGCCGCCGGGACAGCGCCGCCACGTGCAGCCGCGCCGGCAGACCGAACGGGGACTGACACGGAACATTCATCATCATCATCATCATCATCATCATCATCATCATCATCATCAGTGAGGTAGCGGTCGGCGCGCGCCTTCAGCACTCGCGCGCGCCGCCGGGACAGCGCCGCCACGTGCAGCCGCGCCGGCAGACCGAACGGGGACTGACACGGAACATTCATCATGATCATCATCATCATCATCATCATCATCATCATCAGTGAGGTAGCGGTCGGCGCGCGCCTTCAGCACTCGCGCGCGCCGCCGGGACAGCGCCGCCACGTGCAGCCGCGCCGGCAGACCGAACGGGGACTGACACGGAACATTCATCATCATCATCATCATCATCATCATCATCATCAGTGAGGTAGCGGTCGGCGCGCGCCTTCAGCACTCGCGCGCGCCGCCGGGACAGCGCCGCCACGTGCAGCCGCGCCGGCAGACCGAACGGGGACTGACACGGAACATTCATCATCATCATCATCATCATCATCATCATCATCATCATCATCAGTGAGGTAGCGGTCGGCGCGCGCCTTCAGCACTCGCGCGCGCCGCCGGGACAGCGCCGCCACGTGCAGCCGCGCCGGCAGACCGAACGGGGACTGACACGGAACATTCATCATGATCATCATCATCATCATCATCATCATCATCATCAGTGAGGTAGCGGTCGGCGCGCGCCTTCAGCACTCGCGCGCGCCGCCGGGACAGCGCCGCCACGTGCAGCCGCGCCGGCAGACCGAACGGGGACTGACACGGAACATTCATCATCATCATCATCATCATCATCATCATCAGTGAGGTAGCGGTCGGCGCGCGCCTTCAGCACTCGCGCGCGCCGCCGGGACAGCGCCGCCACGTGCAGCCGCGCCGGCAGACCGAACGGGGACTGACACGGAACATTCATCATCATCATCATCATCATCATCATCATCATCATCAGTGAGGTAGCGGTCGGCGCGCGCCTTCAGCACTCGCGCGCGCCGCCGGGACAGCGCCGCCACGTGCAGCCGCGCCGGCAGACCGAACGGGGACTGACACGGAACATTCATCATGATCATCATCATCATCATCATCATCATCATCATCATCAGTGAGGTAGCGGTCGGCGCGCGCCTTCAGCACTCGCGCGCGCCGCCGGGACAGCGCCGCCACGTGCAGCCGCGCCGGCAGACCGAACGGGGACTGACACGGAACATTCATCATCATCATCATCATCATCATCATCATCAGTGAGGTAGCGGTCGGCGCGCGCCTTCAGCACTCGCGCGCGCCGCCGGGACAGCGCCGCCACGTGCAGCCGCGCCGGCAGACCGAACGGGGACTGACACGGAACATTCATCATCATCATCATCATCATCATCATCATCATCATCATCATCAGTGAGGTAGCGGTCGGCGCGCGCCTTCAGCACTCGCGCGCGCCGCCGGGACAGCGCCGCCACGTGCAGCCGCGCCGGCAGACCGAACGGGGACTGACACGGAACATTCATCATGATCATCATCATCATCATCATCATCATCATCAGTGAGGTAGCGGTCGGCGCGCGCCTTCAGCACTCGCGCGCGCCGCCGGGACAGCGCCGCCACGTGCAGCCGCGCCGGCAGACCGAACGGGGACTGACACGGAACATTCATCATGATCATCATCATCATCATCATCATCATCATCATCATCATCATCAGTGAGGTAGCGGTCGGCGCGCGCCTTCAGCACTCGCGCGCGCCGCCGGGACAGCGCCGCCACGTGCAGCCGCGCCGGCAGACCGAACGGGGACTGACACGGAACATTCATCATGATCATCATCATCATCATCATCATCAGTGAGGTAGCGGTCGGCGCGCGCCTTCAGCACTCGCGCGCGCCGCCGGGACAGCGCCGCCACGTGCAGCCGCGCCGGCAGACCGAACGGGGACTGACACGGAACATTCATCATGATCATCATCATCATCATCATCATCATCATCATCATCAGTGAGGTAGCGGTCGGCGCGCGCCTTCAGCACTCGCGCGCGCCGCCGGGACAGCGCCGCCACGTGCAGCCGCGCCGGCAGACCGAACGGGGACTGACACGGAACATTCATCATCATCATCATCATCATCATCAGTGAGGTAGCGGTCGGCGCGCGCCTTCAGCACTCGCGCGCGCCGCCGGGACAGCGCCGCCACGTGCAGCCGCGCCGGCAGACCGAACGGGGACTGACACGGAACATTCATCATGATCATCATCATCATCATCATCATCATCATCATCATCAGTGAGGTAGCGGTCGGCGCGCGCCTTCAGCACTCGCGCGCGCCGCCGGGACAGCGCCGCCACGTGCAGCCGCGCCGGCAGACCGAACGGGGACTGACACGGAACATTCATCATGATCATCATCATCATCATCATCATCATCAGTGAGGTAGCGGTCGGCGCGCGCCTTCAGCACTCGCGCGCGCCGCCGGGACAGCGCCGCCACGTGCAGCCGCGCCGGCAGACCGAACGGGGACTGACACGGAACATTCATCATGATCATCATCATCATCATCATCATCATCATCATCAGTGAGGTAGCGGTCGGCGCGCGCCTTCAGCACTCGCGCGCGCCGCCGGGACAGCGCCGCCACGTGCAGCCGCGCCGGCAGACCGAACGGGGACTGACACGGAACATTCATCATCATCATCATCATCACATCATCATCAGTGAGGTAGCGGTCGGCGCGCGCCTTCAGCACTCGCGCGCGCCGCCGGGACAGCGCCGCCACGTGCAGCCGCGCCGGCAGACCGAACGGGGACTGACACGGAACATTCATCATCATCATCATCATCATCATCATCATCAGTGAGGTAGCGGTCGGCGCGCGCCTTCAGCACTCGCGCGCGCCGCCGGGACAGCGCCGCCACGTGCAGCCGCGCCGGCAGACCGAACGGGGACTGACACGGAACATTCATCATGATCATCATCATCATCATCATCATCATCATCATCAGTGAGGTAGCGGTCGGCGCGCGCCTTCAGCACTCGCGCGCGCCGCCGGGACAGCGCCGCCACGTGCAGCCGCGCCGGCAGACCGAACGGGGACTGACACGGAACATTCATCATCATCATCATCATCATCATCATCATCATCATCATCATCAGTGAGGTAGCGGTCGGCGCGCGCCTTCAGCACTCGCGCGCGCCGCCGGGACAGCGCCGCCACGTGCAGCCGCGCCGGCAGACCGAACGGGGACTGACACGGAACATTCATCATGATCATCATCATCATCATCATCATCATCATCATCAGTGAGGTAGCGGTCGGCGCGCGCCTTCAGCACTCGCGCGCGCCGCCGGGACAGCGCCGCCACGTGCAGCCGCGCCGGCAGACCGAACGGGGACTGACACGGAACATTCATCATCATCATCATCATCATCATCATCATCATCATCATCATCAGTGAGGTAGCGGTCGGCGCGCGCCTTCAGCACTCGCGCGCGCCGCCGGGACAGCGCCGCCACGTGCAGCCGCGCCGGCAGACCGAACGGGGACTGACACGGAACATTCATCATGATCATCATCATCATCATCATCATCATCATCATCATCATCATCATCATCATCAGTGAGGTAGCGGTCGGCGCGCGCCTTCAGCACTCGCGCGCGCCGCCGGGACAGCGCCGCCACGTGCAGCCGCGCCGGCAGACCGAACGGGGACTGACACGGAACATTCATCATCATCATCATCATCATCATCATCATCATCAATGAGGTAGCGGACAGCGCCGCCACGTGCAGCCGCGCCGGCAGACCGAACGGGGACTGACACGGAACATTCATTATCATCATCATCAGCCTATTAATGTCCCCACTGCTGGGACGCAGGCCTTCCCTATGGACGGAATAGGGAGATTGGGCCATGACCCACCACGCGGGCCCAGTGCGGATGGGCGGGTGCTAACGACTGCAGATGCAGCCGGGACCAACGGCCTAACGTGCCTTTCGAAGCACGGAGGAACTCGAGATAGAAGATTTTTGGTCACCCATCCAATGACCGACCACTGCGAAAGTTGCTTTACTTCAACGATCGCAGCCGAACGCGCAAATCACCTGCGCCATCGAGCTTCGCACGGAACAATATATTCAATCAATAACCAGTTTTTCACAGTTCAAAAACAACTGGGAACTAACTTCCAGTTAACCACTTTTAAAAAGTGGTTTCGTAAACTCAAACACTATCCGCCTTATTACAACACGTAGACTAAAGTTAAACCTGATTTAAAACTGATTGTAAGCCTCAGAGTCTTTACTGACACTATCAATAACAGATGATCACATATTACTTGTAATGAGATGCTCGTATGATTATTTTGATTGCTACTACTACTGTTAAATTGTATGATTAACACCTTATAAATATTTACTTTACCTTCTCACCCAAACCTACATAAATAAATACTTTTGATAGGCCTTCACAATGCAGTCGTTAGCACCCACTAAATAGAGATTCTATTTCTATTTTGTTGGTAGATTTTCTTAATGTGCGGTAAACACAAAAGTAACAGTTATGCTGTTAATATTTTGTGTTACAGTGATGCGCGCGCATCTTAAAATTTCACTCTCATCATTCTTTCATAACGCGCCTAAAGAAGTATAACTTCAAAAATACGATGTTGTTAAATTTTGATTTTTTAAACATTTAAATGCTAGACAATTTTTCTTTAAATTTAAATACGATTTTGTTTTTAAAAAAAACCATATTCTTCAAGACTAACCTGCGTTCCGTTAGGCTCCACGCCTCCGGTTTGTTCGTTAGCTGTATCGATGAAAGTCACTCGATTGATATCAGTGTCCGACGTCACTGCACCATTCTCACCCCCTGGGGTGTGACCGGAAGCCGCTGTTCTGGAGGCTGGTGATGATGGCTCGCTCGTCGTCCTACTAAAATGATATTTAGGGGAAGTTTAGTTATTTTAGAAATCGTCGCTATAAATTGTTTAAAATATTGTAGTAGCTATACCTTATTGTAGCCTGTGTAACTATCGTCCCAACGTCGCGGGATGGACCATCACTCCCTGTGTTGTCAGGACAAAGAACGTTATTTGTGGCTGAAGCCTGGATTCCAGCCACGGAGCGGATGCTGTCGGTTGGTGGGTTGACGATAGATGGCGTTGTGTTCGGTGGATTGGCAATAGGCAGCACGTTGTTCGGTGGGGTGCCGATAGATGGCGTTGTGTTCGGTTGTTGAACAATAGATGGCGCGGGTGTGGATCGCCCGACCCCCTCCACGTCCGAGTCAGAGTCGCTGTTGTCGCTGCTGTCGAACGTCGCCGCTGTTCACCGATATTAAAAGTCAAGTATTCATATTTATTAGAGAGATTATAAACAATCATAATGATGTTTATCTACACTCAAGTTGAAATATTCGAATTACGAATGTGAAGATGGTTTTGTAACGACATACTTTATAAACGCACATACATAAAAAAACTCATTATAGTACTGCTAGCTGAATCATAAAATCCTTACTATGTAATTGTTAGTAAGTAAGGCACTCACTGGAATCTCGCCGCCTGGAACCGTCGTGCGCGGTGTCAGTTTGAGACTGCGACGCGTCTGGGTCTGGTTCTATCGATAAAACATAACATCGAATTCAGTATAACCATGAAATGTCGCAAAAATATGCTTACTTTGGTGTTACAGAGAATCTAAGAAGAGACATATTGATAAACTTTATATGTATTTTAATATTTCCACGTAGCATAGCAAAGTTACCTGGGTTAATATTCTTTACTTTTTTATTGAGACTGCATTATTATTAGTTTATTTTCATAATCATTAATTTATTATCTATAGGCACGTACGAACAGGGGCGTCTATTAAAATCTGGCACTGTGTTGCCATTCTTATTAAAACTCCATTAGTAAAACTCCTAAAAACATAGGTCAGTAACGAATGCCTTTATATGGCTTTTGCAGTTTTTCGCAGCTCTTGTAGCTTGCCGCCCTGGGCCATACATAACCCTTTACGCGTTGCAACTCTAAATTGTAGTGAAAATTTCTTTAGTATCCGTTGTGACTTGAAACTCGACGAAACGAAATAGCGACAGTCAAAAGAGACTAACATAAATCTATGCGAGATAGTGAAAAGTGAAAAAGCGTCAGGTAATTTTGAATGGACTTACAGTATAACGGCCTGTAGTGTAGTGCGGTGGGGGTGAGTGTAGTGTAGAGTGCAGGGTCTGCATACTGACTGGGCGCGAGCACGGCGCGGGGCTCCACGAGGCGGCGGAAGGGGGGCCAGCGGGGTGAGTGTAGTGTAGAGTGTAGGGTCTGCATACTGACTGGGCGCGAGCACGGCGCGGGGCTCCACGAGGCGGCGGAAGGGGGGCCAGCGGGGTGAGTATAGTGTAGAGTGCAGGGTCTGCATACTGACTGGGCGCGAGCACGGCGCGGGGCTCCACGAGGCGGCGGAAGGGGGGCCAGCGGGGTGAGTATAGTGTAGAGTGCAGGGTCTGCATACTGACTGGGTGCGAGCACGGCGCGGGGCTCCACGAGGCGGCGGAAGGGGGGCCAGCGGGGTGAGTGTAGTGTAGAGTGTAGGGTCTGCATACTGACTGGGCGCGAGCACGGCGCGGGGCTCCACGAGGCGGCGGAAGGGGGGCCAGCGGGGTGAGTATAGTGTAGAGTGCAGGGTCTGCATACTGACTGGGCGCGAGCACGGCGCGGGGCTCCACGAGGCGGCGGAAGGGGGGCCAGCGGGGTGAGTGTAGTGTAGAGTGTAGGGTCTGCATACTGACTGGGCGCGAGCACGGCGCGGGGCTCCACGAGGCGGCGGAAGGGGGGCCAGCGGGGTGAGTATAGTGTAGAGTGCAGGGTCTGCATACTGACTGGGCGCGAGCACGGCGCGGGGCTCCACGAGGCGGCGGAAGGGGGGCCAGCGGGGTGAGTATAGTGTAGAGTGCAGGGTCTGCATACTGACTGGGCGCGAGCACGGCGCGGGGCTCCACGAGGCGGCGGAAGGGGGGCCAGCGGGGTGAGTATAGTGTAGAGTGCAGGGTCTGCATACTGACTGGGCGCGAGCACGGCGCGGGGCTCCACGAGGCGGCGGAAGGGGGGCCAGCGGGGTGAATATAGTGTAGAGTGCAGGGTCTGCATACTGACTGGGCGCGAGCACGGCGCGGGGCTCCACGAGGCGGCGGAAGGGGGGCCAGCGGGGTGAGTATAGTGTAGAGTGCAGGGTCTGCATACTGACTGGGCGCGAGCACGGCGCGGGGCTCCACGAGGCGGCGGAAGGGGGGCCAGCGGGGTGAGTGTAGTGTAGAGTGCAGGGTCTGCATACTGACTGGGCGCGAGCACGGCGCGGGGCTCCACGAGGCGGCGGAAGGGGGGCCAGCGGGGTGAGTATAGTGTAGAGTGCAGGGTCTGCATACTGACTGGGCGCGAGCACGGCGCGGGGCTCCACGAGGCGGCGGAAGGGGGGCCAGCGGGGTGAGTATAGTGTAGAGTGCAGGGTCTGCATACTGACTGGGCGCGAGCACGGCGCGGGGCTCCACGAGGCGGCGGAAGGGGGGCCAGCGGGGTGAGTATAGTGTAGAGTGCAGGGTCTGCATACTGACTGGGCGCGAGCACGGCGCGGGGCTCCACGAGGCGGCGGAAGGGCGGCCAGCGGGGTGAGTATAGTGTAGAGTGCAGGGTCTGCATACTGACTGGGCGCGAGCACGGCGCGGGGCTCCACGAGGCGGCGGAAGGGGGGCCAGCGGGGTGAGTGTAGTGTAGAGTGCAGGGTCTGCATACTGACTGGGCGCGAGCACGGCGCGGGGCTCCACGAGGCGGCGGAAGGGCGGCCAGCGCTGCAGCAGCACCACCACTCCGAAGGCCGCGTATACGGAGAGGAACACCGCCAGCGTCGCGACTGCAGCTATCGCGTACTGCTCGCGCGACAACGCCTCCTGCCCCGACACGCTACCGTGTAAATAATACGTACGTACAATATGAAGTGTCTCACAGACAGAGGCGGGGCTGGGGTGGCGGTCATTTGTAAGCGAGTGTTCGAACATGATCTACCAAAGAAAGGGGCTAGCCTCTATTTGTGAGACCCTTAATACGTACTGACACTAAGTCGAAACTGTTATAGTAATGCAAGAAAAATGTCAAATGGTCTAGCTGAAGCAAAAATTGTTAGCATCTGTATTAAATCAAATTGCAAAAATTATGACGTACAAAAAAGTGGTCTTACCGAAATTGAAAAAACGTCTGGAATCACACTAATATTATAAAGGCGAAAGTTTGTGAGTATGTGAGTGTGTATGTTTGTTACTTCTTCACGTCTAAACGGCTGGAGCGTTTTCAATAAAATTTGGTATGGAGTTAGCTGACACCCTGGATTAACACATAGGCTACGTTTTACTGCGGGAAATTATCCTTAATTAACTGCGGGTAACGCGGGGCACAGCAAGTCTTATATAAATGAGATGACATGCTTGTGAATTTGTTGTTAAAGAAGTACATTATATGGTTCAACGTTGAGATGACAGATTCTTTCTCTTTTATTAAAGCTATTATTTATTTTTCGAAACAATTTAAGTACAAAATATTTTATTTTGACTTAGAGACTTGAATTTTCACACAGGTGTTGTTTTTGAGACGTAGCTAGTTGTAGTTTCATTTCTGTCGCATTTGAATAGTACATGCTTTTTTTTTGTGTAGGGTCATGTACCTGTTGTTCGCAGCCTTTCGGAGACGGGTTCCGTGACCACTTCCGCCCTCGGCATGCACTAGGGGGACCGCGGTTCTCATAATGCGTGTCGGGTGACGGTGCAGGAGTATTGTCTGGTTTTTAGTGGCCCTGTTCAGGGCGTAGGTAGGGCCCTGTTCACATCAGCGAGCTCCAGGGCTGGCTAAAGAGGACACGGAGGAGTCCCACATACCTTCGTCTCGCTCTCCCAGTGGTTGAAGGATGCGTAAGGCATTTTCCAGACACAAAAAAAAGGGCGCCCACAGCCAGTCCTCGCGGGCGGGCTGCTCGTACTCGCACGATACACGCACCTGTACGGCCAGAGTGACGGTCTTGGTGCGGGGCGGGTGCGGGCGGGCGGGGTCGGGTCCGTACACCGCGGCCGCCCACAGCCAGTCCTCGTGGGCGGGCTGCTCGTACTCGCACGATACACGCACCTGTACGGCCAGAGTGACGGTCTTGGTGCGGGGCGGGTGCGGGCGGGCGGGGTCGGGTCCGTACACCGCGGCCGCCCACAGCCAGTCCTCGTGGGCGGGCTGCTCGTACTCGCACGATACACGCACCTGTACGGCCAGAGTGACGGTCTTGGTGCGGGGCGGGTGCGGGCGGGCGGGGTCGGGTCCGTACACCGCGGCCGCCCACAGCCAGTCCTCGTGGGCGGGCTGCTCGTACTCGCACGATACACGCACCTGTACGGCCAGAGTGACGGTCTTGGTGCGGGGCGGGTGCGGGCGGGCGGGGTCGGGTCCGTACACCGCGGCCGCCCACAGCCAGTCCTCGTGGGCGGGCTGCTCGTACTCGCACGATACACGCACCTGTACGGCCAGAGTGACGGTCTTGGTGCGGGGCGGGTGCGGGCGGGCGGGGTCGGGTCCGTACACCGCGGCCGCCCACAGCCAGTCCTCGTGGGCGGGCTGCTCGTACTCGCACGATACACGCACCTGTACGGCCAGAGTGACGGTCTTGGTGCGGGGCGGGTGCGGGCGGGCGGGGTCGGGTCCGTACACCGCGGCCGCCCACAGCCAGTCCTCGTGGGCGGGCTGCTCGTACTCGCACGATACACGCACCTGTACGGCCAGAGTGACGGTCTTGGTGCGGGGCGGGTGCGGGCGGGCGGGGTCGGGTCCGTACACCGCGGCCGCCCACAGCCAGTCCTCGTGGGCGGGCTGCTCGTACTCGCACGATACACGCACCTGTACGGCCAGAGTGACGGTCTTGGTGCGGGGCGGGTGCGGGCGGGCGGGGTCGGGTCCGTACACCGCGGCCGCCCACAGCCAGTCCTCGTGGGCGGGCTGCTCGTACTCGCACGATACACGCACCTGTACGGCCAGAGTGACGGTCTTGGTGCGGGGCGGGTGCGGGCGGGCGGGGTCGGGTCCGTACACCGCGGCCGCCCACAGCCAGTCCTCGTGGGCGGGCTGCTCGTACTCGCACGATACACGCACCTGTACGGCCAGAGTGACGGTCTTGGTGCGGGGCGGGTGCGGGCGGGCGGGGTCGGGTCCGTACACCGCGGCCGCCCACAGCCAGTCCTCGTGGGCGGGCTGCTCGTACTCGCACGATACACGCACCTGTACGGCCAGAGTGACGGTCTTGGTGCGGGGCGGGTGCGGGCGGGCGGGGTCGGGTCCGTACACCGCGGCCGCCCACAGCCAGTCCTCGTGGGCGGGCTGCTCGTACTCGCACGATACACGCACCTGTACGGCCAGAGTGACGGTCTTGGTGCGGGGCGGGTGCGGGCGGGCGGGGTCGGGTCCGTACACCGCGGCCGCCCACAGCCAGTCCTCGCGGGCGGGCTGCTCGTACTCGCACGATACACGCACCTGTACGGCCAGAGTGACGGTCTTGGTGCGGGGCGGGTGCGGGCGGGCGGGGTCGGGTCCGTACACCGCGGCCGCCCACAGCCAGTCCTCGTGGGCGGGCTGCTCGTACTCGCACGATACACGCACCTGTACGGCCAGAGTGACGGTCTTGGTGCGGGGCGGGTGCGGGCGGGCGGGGTCGGGTCCGTACACCGCGGCCGCCCACAGCCAGTCCTCGTGGGCGGGCTGCTCGTACTCGCACGATACACGCACCTGTACGGCCAGAGTGACGGTCTTGGTGCGGGGCGGGTGCGGGCGGGCGGGGTCGGGTCCGTACACCGCGGCCGCCCACAGCCAGTCCTCGTGGGCGGGCTGCTCGTACTCGCACGATACACGCACCTGTACGGCCAGAGTGACGGTCTTGGTGCGGGGCGGGTGCGGGCGGGCGGGGTCGGGTCCGTACACCGCGGCCGCCCACAGCCAGTCCTCGTGGGCGGGCTGCTCGTACTCGCACGATACACGCACCTGTACGGCCAGAGTGACGGTCTTGGTGCGGGGCGGGTGCGGGCGGGCGGGGTCGGGTCCGTACACCGCGGCCGCCCACAGCCAGTCCTCGTGGGCGGGCTGCTCGTTCTCGCACGCCTCGTCTGTTTCGTGAACCAGCACCAGTACCAGGAAGCCGCGTGGGAATCTCTCGCGCTGATCACACCATATGAACATAGTTCACAAAATAATATCAATAAGTAAATAAAAAAAACCGGAAAAGTACAAGACGTACTCGCGCATGAAGGTCCTGTAGATACCATTATAAATAAACATTAGACGCTATACTACTATGATATCGCTCAAAATCCGGCAAAATAGTTACTTCTTTCAGCTACACTTAATTTGTTTTGAATTTAATTATTTATTTATTTTTAAACTGAAAATACAAATGATAAATATTCGTTGCATATTTACTTTAAGTCTAAGATTATCAAACAAAAAAAAAATGTGTGCGTGTACTAGTGTACACACGTAAGAAGTGAAACTTCTTTATAGCCTTATTTTTCGAAAAATGATCTACATGCAACTTTCCAGAAATTGGTTAAATAAAGTTAAATTAGATAAAGTTTAAACAAAAGGATTTTATTATCATAGACATGAAAACAAATTACTGCCTATGAAACTGTTATGATTACACGGCTCAGTAATCTAAGGCACATGTCCCACCTCCGACGATGAACGATAAGCGAGTAGAAACTAGAAACGAATTGGCAGTCCTGAGTTAAAATGCACGCGCACGGCTTTTGACAGCCAAGCCAGCTTAACCGAGCGAGTATAGCTGAGCGAGTATCGCTGAGCGAGAATCGCTGAGCGAGAATCGCTGAGCGAGTATCGCTGGGCGAGTATCGCTGGGCGAGTATCGCTGGGCGAGTATCGCTGGGCGAGTATCGCTGAGCGAGTATCGCTGAGCGAGTATCGCTGAGCGAGTATCGCTGAGCGAGTATCGCTGAGCGAGTATCGCTGAGCGAGTATCGCTGAGCGAGTATCGCTGAGCGAGTATCGCTGAGCGAGTATCGCTGAGCGAGTACCGCTGAGCGAGTATCGCTGAGCGAGTATCGCTATGCGAGTTTGGCTGAGCGAGTCTTATCTTTAATAACTATTGTCACTCAGCTACAAACGAGTAGAGAGAGTTCTCGCCGGCGACAGTGTGAGCATTCAGATATCAACTATTAATATAAAAAAAGATGGCGCGTAACGGAAAAATGTGACGCGTAACTGAAAAATGTGACGGTAAATTTTTTTCCAACGCCGATAAAGAAGTTTCACTTCAAAAAAACACGTTTGTCATATGGTAACACTAAAACATTTACATTATATTTATAGTTTTTAGTATTTGTTGTTATAGGCAACAGGAATACAACATCTGTGGAAATTTTACACCTTTAAATGTTCCTAGTCATGACAAAATGACAAAGGTATGTAATCTTAACGTGGCAGAAATACGGCTTTATTCTGAGCCGAATCTATGTATGCTGGCGCGGCGGTTGCTTTGTGATAGTATCATACATTTATAAGACAAAATAAGGCACAGTAATAAGATGTTAATACTGACCGACAGCTGCACGGCGCCGGAGCGCTGCATGCTCATCCGCATAGTGGTGGTGGACAGCTCCTGCAGCGTCTCCGCTATTGGACACTGCCATCATAATATCACGTATTACCGTAGGCGTACTTAGAGTGCCCTCCCCTCCCCCTGATAGAAATGCCCTGCCCCCAATCAATGCTGGCACTTTACATCATCATCATCAGTCTATTAATGTCCCCAATGCTGGGGCAGAGGCCTTCCCTATGGATGGAATAGGGAGATTGGGCCATGACCCACCACCCGGGCCCAGTGCGGATTGGCAGGTGCTAACGACTGCAGGAGCACGGAGGAGCTCGAGATAGTAAATTTTTGGTCACCTATCAATGACCGACCACTGTGAAAGTTGCTTTACTTCAACGATCGCAGCCGAACGTGCTAACCACCCGAGCCATCGAGCTCCTCTGGCACTGTACATGGCTATTTGACATTAAGACAGCAGGTTGTCCTTAACATACTCTTTGGGGAATAAAAAGGAGAGACTGTGTCAAGTTTATATATACTGAATATGATATAACCATGTAAAGTGCCGGCATAATTAAATCTGGCCAAGTGCGTGTGGTACTTTTTTGTAAATTTACTAAATCTTTTTTCCAAAACGAAAACTAGAGATAGACATGGTTTAAACCTATCGCTGTCTCTGTCTTGTTTATAGCAGATAAAGGTGAATACAGCATAACTTGGTAAAACTTACGTCAACGTGGATGGCCAGATAGAGAGTATAGTTTATTCACGCCTCTTCTAGCTTTATGGAAGTCTTTCAGTTTTAAAAATATTTTGTTGTGTCAAATATAAGTACAATAACTAGCTGCCGTCCGTGGATATACTGTACTTCCTGGGCCCAAGATTTGATACTTTATACTAGGTTATATTAGTGATGTGACCATAACGAAAAAATATTACGTTATTAGACCTTTTCATCAAAAAAACTTACTCGTTTACTTTGACTTTTTATATTAAGTATGTTAATTTATATTAACTTTTTATTCATTTACTTTAGGTAGTTAAATTATTTATATTTAATTCGACATGCGCGTTTATAATATTGGTAGGAAGTAGAATAAGAAGCTGGAAGAAGGATACTAATTGTTCCATCGACGGAACAATCAGAATATAACAGACGAGTGAGCCTCACCCCGTATTGTTGCACAGCGAGCGTGGCGCACACGTCGTCCTCAGAGGACGCCACGAGCCGCACCTGCGTCTGTCCCTCGGGGAACGAATAGTGGTGCACGCGAGGCGATAACTGGAATAAAAAATATTTCCTATAACCCATACTGTTAAGTTGATCATAAGATAACTAGCTGTTTTTGGTGGACAAAACCTTTTTGAAATATCAGAACACAAAAAGTATCCGAACTATGAAACTTTAAACCCGCAGGGACACAAGGGACGCGCCCGACGCCACACGTAGCTATAGAGTACTATCATTATATAGGGCGGTAGGTACCAGCGTGGCGGTGGAGTGCAGCGAGTCCCGCAGGGACACAAGGGACGCGCCCGACGCCACACGTAGCTATAGAGTGCTATCATTATATAGGGCGGTAGGTACCAGCGTGGCGGTGGAGTGCAGCGAGTCCCGCAGGGACACAAGGGACGCGCCCGACGCCACACGTAGCTATAGAGTGCTATCATTATATAGGGCGGTAGGTACCAGCGTGGCGGTGGAGTGCAGCGAGTCCCGCAGGGACACAAGGGACGCGCCCGACGCCACACGTAGCTATAGAGTGCTATCATTATATAGGGCGGTAGGTACCAGCGTGGCGGTGGAGTGCAGCGAGTCCCGCAGGGACACAAGGGACGCGCCCGACGCCACACGTAGCTATAGAGTGCTATCATTATATAGGGCGGTAGGTACCAGCGTGGCGGTGGAGTGCAGCGAGTCCCGCAGGGACACAAGGGACGCGCCCGACGCCACACGTAGCTATAGAGTGCTATCATTATATAGGGCGGTAGGTACCAGCGTGGCGGTGGAGTGCAGCGAGTCCCGCAGGGACACAAGGGACGCGCCCGACGCCACACGTAGCTATAGAGTGCTATCATTATATAGGGCGGTAGGTACCAGCGTGGCGGTGGAGTGCAGCGAGTCCCGCAGCCGCCAGTCTCGCGCCGGCCTCACCCGCAGCCGCACGCGAGACGCGCACGACGCCACCACGTGTAAGGATATCCAGCCCCGAGCCCCGCCCTCTTGCTCTGTACATAATAATAATTTAACTATATCAATCTAAACGAAAGAGAAACAATTATAAATAAATAAATATAAATATTTCCAACACACACCAATTAACTTAGCCCCAAAGTTAGCACTGTAGGCTTGAGTTTTGGGATACTAGAGTAACGTATATTTCCCATGTACATATTAAACATCCATGACTGCAGTATAAAAGCTCTCAAACCCGGACCTCTCGAGCAGACGACACCTTGAACCGGCGTTCAAACCACTCGGCCACAGAGGTCGTCAAAATTCAAACAACAAAACAATTGACAATTCGATCGAATACTTTCAGTTAAAAGCCCATTATTAGTTAGTGATTTTAATTGCGAATCCAGCAGCTTCGAGCTTGAATCCTCTAAGAGGCAAACAAAGAGTAATATATAGTATAAGTATAGAGGAGGCAAATGTTTGTACTATGATCATTTGCATTTTCTTACCTGTCATGGATGTTTATATGTACCTATTTTACAATGTATGTTTATACGTTATCTAGCACCCATTAGTACAGCCTATGCTTAGTTTGGGGCTACATGATTGTTGTGAAAGTGTTCAAAAAGATCCATTCTTTTCTCCATACAATTTTGCTCAATCTTGTACCTGAAAAAGAATCATGCATTTATGTGTCGAAAAATTCATTAATTAAAACATACCTGTGATACAGGGAATTTATTAGCCACTCATACCAGATAAAAATTTCGCTTAAAATTTTAAATTAATGGCAACACAGATTATATGATAAATGTGTATTTTTTAATTAATTAAAAAAAGCTACGGAAATCATAAAAAATAAACCCAATCGGCTAAAGCTTGAATATAACAAAATGATATAAGGATATTGCAGGTCCATCAAAATACATAAAAATTAACTGAGATGTATAGCTAAAAGGCTGTATACCAAAGCGATTAACTGTCAGTCTCATATCGATAGTAAGTGTGAGGAAAACCGTCACTTGGTTTTGTTATAACCAATCACAATCAAGAAAATTAATTTAAACCAATAGTACTCGTTTAAGCTGCCATCTGTTCTTTAATGCGTGCAATGACTAATTGCCTCTATGTAATAACGTTTCTTTATACACAGATTCCCCTTTTCAACATATTTCCATTGAGATTGGTGTAGATTCTGGCATGATTCTCTAAACTTTAAACTAAATTTAACATCAGTCTCTTCTTTTCATTCTATATACAAAATGACAAGGATACACTGTTGTCAAATTTAAGTTAAGGTTAAGAGAATCACGCCAGAATCTACACCATTTTCACCAAATTTTACTGAATTTATTGAGATTTTGATGTGTGTGTCTTTTTAAGTATAATTTTACATTTTTTTTTGTGATAATCTGTACCAAGGTATAAAATTGGGCAGAAATCGAAGGTCTCCTTTATACTATTACTGACCGCAATCGGGCGTGGTCTCGTCGACGGCGTCGTCGGCGCACAGCGTCCGCTCCAACTCGAACCGCAGATGCGAACCCGACGACCACGGCAGCTGCCACGTGCCCGCGCCTGGTTCGATAATCATTTATTGAATACTATTGGTCCGCCCTCGCTTCGCTTCGGTGTAGAGCTGTAGTGTATAGGTAGACTATAGTTTTTGTTCTCAGGCTTGTTCTTGTATTATACACAAAGAAGTTCTTTTCATAATTATAAACCTTCGATGAAAATTATTATTTAAATGATCATGAAAATATTGATGCGTACTTTTGGACCCTTTGTATCAAATGCACCATTTATTTGGATTTTCAACCAAATGAACGCGCAAATCTCAGGAACTAATGGTCTGATTTCAAAAAATCTTTTTGTGTTACATAGTACATCCATTGAGGAAGGCTTAATGCTATATAACATCACGCTGCGGCCAGGAGAGCGGATTATCGATGTTAAATGTTGCAAAAACGGGTAAATATCAGGTTCTATAAAAAAGTCCGCGACAGTTTTAACCTTTTTCCTAAACTAACGCGGGTGAAACCGCAGATATATGGTATCGCGGACTTTTTTGTAGATATTAATGTCCTCTACAAAACTTTAGACACACGCGGACACTCACCGGCGCGCTGCCTGTAGGTGAGTATAAGCGGGCGGGAGGGGTGGCCGGCGTCGCTGTCCACCCACACGCGCATGGGCCACCGGGCCTGTTCGTCGTTCTGGAAACCACATGTACATCAATGTAACGGCATATTTTATACTAGCGGCCCGCCCTCGCCTCGCTTCGGTGTAGAGCTGAAGTGTAGACTACAGTTTTTGTTCTCAGGCTTGTATTATACACAATGACATTCATCTATGATTCTTCTTATACCTACATGCAAAGTCTCAGCCCGATCGGTTTAAAATTGACAAAGTTTCATACAAACTTTCATTCCCTATTTTATCCCCTTTGGGGTAGAATTGATCAAAATCCTTTCTTAGCGGATGCCTACGCCATAACATCTACCTGCATGCCAAATTTCAGCCCGATCCGTCCAGTGGTTTGGGCTGTGCGTTGATAGATCACTATGTCAGTCAGTCAGTCACCTTTGAGTTTTATATATATACATAGATTAAACAACAAAAAACACATTCTGAAAAAAAAAGAATGTGCTTATAACCACACGACTGAAGTGAAACTTCTTTAGCTCCATCTGTATGTATATGTGTGTGTGTGTGTGTACAATATATACATGTATGTACATATACATATTTCATTTACTAGCTATAAGAGAAAGAGAGGAAGAAAATGTGCGCGCGCACTGCTTTCTCTTGCTTATATCCCCCACTCAACTCTCGTTCGCCTCGCCCGAACACACTTTTCGTAACGCGTTCGCCAGCTTACTCCCCAAGTCAAGCGTGCGTGAAGAAGTTTCACTTCAAAAACAGTTGATTACATAAAAAATTCTCGTCTTGGGTTTTGCCATTTTTAATGCTATGTAATGTTCCCTTAGCCGATGCGATCATAACAGTATACATGAATGAGTCTATTTCAACGTTAGGCACCAACTTTTAGTGGGGGGATACAAGTGTGTGTTGTGCTAGACTCACTTGTACATCAGTAGGTAATGTATCACATCCAGGAATCGAACCTGGGGCCTTTGTAATAAGCAGGCAAAATCAGTGCCTTTATTGGTGAAGGTGTTGATGTTTTAATTAAAACTCACCGGGTTAAAGTCCAGAATGAACTCGACGCTGGTGTCCAAGTGCAGCTCGTGCGTCTCCTCCAGCTCCAATCTGATAAGAAATATCACCAACAGCCATGGAATTTGGTTTAGAGATAGTTTGAGTTCCGGGAAAGGACATAGGATAGTTTTTATCTCAGAAATCATACTTTAAATGGCCAAAGGGGGGGGGGGGGTGTATGTGAAACCAAATTTTGCCACGCAAACAAAGTCGTGAGCACCCGCTAGTTAGTTATTTATACAACTATTCATAACTATGTTGTTATAGATGGGTGGAACGTACGATGTGTACCTAGTTGAAGGGTATGGTCAACACAATAAATAAAAAAATTGTGTGCACGGACCACGATCTGAAGTGAAACTTATTTTCTTAAATAACCTAACATTAGTCGGATCATAAGGCATAGGGAAATAGAGCAGCGCACGCATTACTCATATTTATAGGTATATATATTGTCGCGTGTGACGCTCGTAGCGTTTCAGCCTTCGGTTGGCGATATCTCCAACTTTCATGCTCGTCGGGAATAGCTGCGCACGCATCCCACACACGCACACACATATATAGATACATTCAAAAAAATTAAACACAATAAATAAATAAAAGATAAGTGTTCACGGACCTTCGATTACTATTATATATATGTATCATCATCATCATCAACAGCCCATCATAGTCCACTGCTGGATATAGGCCTATCCAAATGCACGCCACTCAGATCGATCTTGGGCTACTCGCATCCAGCTCCTGCCAGCCACCTTGCGCAAATCTTCACTTCATCGTGCCTGAGGACGTCCTACACTACGTTTGCCTAGACGCGGTCTCCACTCCAAAACTCATCTACCCCAACGGTTATCGGTTCTTCGGCAAATATGCCCAGCCCACTGCCACTTCAACTTGCTAATCCGGTGTAGCCCACTCTGGTTCTCTGTCGGATTACCTCATTTCTGATGCGATCCTTCAGAGAAACACCGAGCATAGCCCTTTCCATAGCGCGCTGAGCGCTTTGAACCTGTGGACCAGCCGTGCCGTCAGTGTCCACGTCTCGGCTCCGTATGTCATCACAGGTAGGACGCACTGATTGAAGACTTTCGTCTTTAGGCACTGTGGGATCGACGATACCCAGCTGAACTCTTCTATTCACCTCGTCCTCAAAGTTGTTTCTACCTAACTGCAATGTCTGCCCGAGGTATACATATTTTTGAACAACTTCAAGAACGGCACCATGTATTGCAATCGGTTCCGGTAGAACATGTTCATTGAACATGACCTTGGTTTTATCCAAGTTCATCCGTAGGCCGATGCGTATAGAAGAGTCAGCCAGGTCATTCAGCATCTGTTGTAGGTCCTGCAGGGTTTCTGCCATGATGACGATGTCGTCTGCAAATCGCAAGTGAGAGATGTGTTCGCCATTTATGTTGATGTCATGTCCTTTCCAGTTCAGCGTCTTAAACATATCCATATATGTATATATATGTATATAGTCGTGTAACGTTCGTGACGAATTTCCGTTTCATCTATCCATAGGCTTTTTCCATTTACACCCCGTCCGAAAAGAAACTTCACTTTAAATGTTTTTCTTGGACGGTCGCTAGAGTTGATACTTACATTTTTAAATATCATAGTCCACCTCATCTTTGATTAGCAGCTCCTCAAGATAAAGATATTTTTCCTCAGTCCACTAAAATTCTTAATAAAATACGTCGATACCGGCGCCACTTGCTCTGAAGCCCTTCACGGCGCAAGCTTTGGCCGGCTGCGGCACTTTCAATGACCAACGTAAAAAGAGCTCCACTTTGCATATATTTTGTATAGCATCTGGAGCGCTTTTTAATTACAGCAAAGCAAGGCGCTTCACGAGAGACCTTTACAATATATTTTTTTATGGAATTAACTTCAAAACACATAATTAAAAAATATTTTAGTTAGTGATTGTCGCATCGCTCGTGCCAGCACCGTTGGCACCTATTTCAGTGATTCGTTTGAAAACATGCCGGCAATCATACTGCGAATAATACGATGCAGCCGGTAGGGGTCGCTGGTAGTTGTTAGGGGGTCCGGAATGAAAGATTTATTCGTAGAAAACAAATCCTTAATTTGCCCTAATAACATTCCGCGGCCGTCGCGTCTCCATAGGTTGGTTATTTAAATTAAATATAATAATAAATATTTCCAACACTCACACCAATTAGCCTAGCCCCAAAGTAAGCACTGTAAAGGCTTGTGTTTTGGGATACTAGGGTAACGGATAGAATACATATATTGTACATATATAAGTATACTAGCTGACCCAGCGAACTTCGTACCGCCCTAATAAATAGGGGTTGTCCAGCGGACAAAATTGTGAATCTAAACCATTCTCAGATCCCTTTGAACACACACAAAAAATTTCATCAAAATCGGTCCAGTCGTTTAAGAGAAGTTCAGTGACATACACACTCACAGAAGAATTATATATATAAAGATTTATATGAAATACATATTAAACATCCATGACTGGAGTACAAATGCTCGTATTCATCACACAAACATCTGCCCCCACTGGGATTCGAACCCGGGACCTCTCGAGTCGGCGACGCCATGAAACCCGGCGTATAAACCACTCGGCCACGGATGTCGTCAAATTAAAGTGAATGAGGGATTTTGCTGAGGCAAGAAAAGTAACTCTTTATAATTTAATTTTGTTCATTACCTACGCCATTTTATAACTACTTAGTTTTATTTTGAAAAAAAAAACCACAAACTTGAGTTTAGTGATTCTTGTCACTCCTGCCTTCCTAAAAATACTTTTTACTGGTATAGTAGGAGTGCGCAGTGAGCTTCCCTTATTTGTGAAATGTTCGCAATTGTTATTGAACTTTGTATGTTTAGTATGAGATCGTAATTAAAAAAAAATCTATATTTGGATACTGATATAATGTTTCATCTATATCGCTCGATGGCGCAGGTGGTTAGCGCATTCGGCTTGCGATCGTGAAAGTTAACAAACTTTCGCAATAGTCGGTATTGGATGGGTGACCAAAAACTATTATCTGGAGCTCCTACGTGCTTTGGAAGACACGTTAAGGCGATGGTCCCGGCAGCATCTGCACCCACCAATCCGCATTGGGCCCGCGTGGTGGGTCACGGCCCAATCTCCCTATTCCATCGATTGGGGGCGCTAGGGTTATGTTTGCACACGGGCGCTGCATGGGCTGAAGACACCTCTGCAACCAGGGCACAGGGCACCATAACTAGTAATGGAGCTGTCTTGAGAACTACAGAAATCTAAAGGACATTGTTCAGCGTCCATACATAGTTAGCCTAAGAACCAACAATCATGAAATATTATTTTCTAGGTTCAAAATCGTAAGTAAATGACTGTAAAAACAAAGATTATTGACGGACACTTCTGAGAACTTAAAATATTAGGAAAATTAAATTTTTTTTGAGGTTATGTTTAATATTCAATGAAACATAGGTCCACCTATGAATTTAGTATAAACTCAGTATGAAGTGAATTAATATTACTAGTAATTCATTTTATTCGGTATGATTTTAAAGAATAACTACTTATTAGGAAAAACTTGGTTAGGTAGGATTCATGAATAAAATAAAAACTGTAGTTTTGCTTCTTATTTATTGACTATTTTTCACATAATTGTATCATATTGTTTATTGTATTTATTTGTATATCACATGTAGGTATATTGTGTAAATATGCAGCGTGAATGTGTATCGGGTGTTGTGTTCTTGAATAATTAAGCAGTATGATCCTCTCAGGATGTCGTGGCACAGGTTCACTAGCACTTGGTTATAGGGGCTCTTCTCTTTGGTAACATCGATGGCATATTAAATAGCCAAAATAGTTAAATTTAAGGAAAAACAATCGCAAATAAACACACAACAGGTAATCCGAAACGAGAATGCACTTTCCGGTATAATAAACTACTCTTTGGAATGTACGAATGCCACAGATTACTACGAATGCAAACTGCATGCACCACAACCACAGAGTAACGAGTTTTATGCCGGCCCTTCACTTGACAACAGTTTGTCCTTGTCATGCTTAATAAGGTATGAAAAGGACAGACTGATGTCATGTTTTAAAAAAGCAAATACGAATAGCCAAGTGAAGTGCCGGCATTAGGAAGAAAGAGTGTTTTGTTTGCAGCGCTGCCATAGATTATACACATAAAATGGTATTTATTGTCTCAGATTATTTTTTAACTTTTTAATTTATCTTACTTAACTGGAAGTGTCCGTCACAATCTAAATACTGATAATTATCGCAAAAAATATACTAAGAATTATCATAAATGCCAAATTGGTGTTGGTTCTTAGGCCAATTTTAACATTGTCCTTTATGATTAGAGAAAGAGAGAGTAGAAACTGTTCTATTTTGTTTGTACTGTACTTACTTCCTGTAATAACAAAAATAAACTATTTCCCTAGATTAGAATAAGTACCGAAGTATTATAGTTCAAAATTAAAGCATCAAAGTATTTTAAACGGATACATATGGACTTTTTTATTACTTTATAAGATTTCTGGACTGTTGGCGAAAGAAAAACATAGGTATACTGCGTCAGTTACCCACGAAATGCCATTTTTCCAACCACTCCCTTCACCCATTTCATCTATCATTTAGCAAATAAATTTTCATTGCATTTCATATTGGTAATGCACGGTGTGAAAGTGTTTCAGTACTATTAAAGAAAAGAGACTCACTGCATTCTTGTGATTGTGACATTTTGTTGCGCGACGACGCCGGCGCCGGCACTGGCCGCCAGCAACCACAGCGCAAGCGCCCGCCACGCGACCATACTATTCAACCACTCCTTCCACTATCCCAGCTGGACTTTTCACCATAAACAGCTGAAAACTATGTTAACGTCACGGCCGGAAACTCCTGAAGAATTTCAAAGCCAGCATTCAGACTCTGTCACTTATATTTATTTATAAACAAGCATGTTTCACATAGATTCGGACGCTAAAAGTTTGGGTAACACATAACCAATTCCGCGACTAAGCGTGGTTTCGTTGAATTCCGAACTAGATAGCGTTATCAATGGTATCATATCGCGCACCTATTCCTGATATCGTATCGACACCACCTGTTCGAGTACGTTCAGTTGAATCACTTAACCCCGGTTCCCGTGTATTTGATCGACACTCGACTAGATTCTACTGAGAGTATGTATCGCAGTGTTTGCGTAAATTCACTGATAGCGATAATACTGGAGCGACGTTTTTCGAGCGTCTCCTAAAAAGGGGGTTATCAAGTTCAAGCACTACGCGCATAACACAAACGCTAGATATGTCGTGATTTCCGCAAAAAATATCTCGGAACAGACACACTTTGCACAAGGGGGGTTTTTTGACTCGTGGCGTATATGACGTGTGTATCGACGGCGATTTTTTAGAATACGTAATTTTGTGTTGATAATTTCTGATACCATTCATCTTTTTGTATGTTGAATTGGCTTATTAGTTGCGTTTTTAAGAGTTATTGGAACATGCTTGATGAGTAATTGATTTTCATGTTACAAAACAATACTGATAAGATTATTCACCTTTAAGAATTTGGGTGCGTTATCAGTACTATGAATAGCATTTCATTTCCGGAAGCTCATATTAAAACTATAAACAAGTAAACGATTTGTTTAAAAGAAAAGTGGACAGTGTATCTGATAATTACATACTATCACCCTATTCCATCCATAGGGAAGGCCTGTACCCCAGCAGTGGGGACATTAATAGGCTGATGATGATGATGAAATCATCTCAAATGCCAATCTTATAGTGTAAAATCAAACAAAATCACGAGAAAATCTTTTAGAATCATTTTATATACTAGCTGGTAAGGATTTGTTAACTGAGTTACTCAAATATCAGGAAATTTGAAATATTTTGTTTTTTTTATTTATTTATTTATCATCAGTAAGTTTCAACAGCATTTCACACAATATAATCTAATAGTGTTTCCTAACCTTTCCAATACTGCTACCCCTGTAACCTATTAGGAAAACAGATTTTACCCCGACTTTAAAATGTTATCATCAGTCTAAGAAATTCCAATTTGGTCGCTACATCTTCGTCTTTACTAATGTTATCATCAGGAGATAATCTCGCCGCGCTTCCCACACTCAGCACCCCGCGGGCTCACTAGCAAGAAGAACCGCATGCTCTATTTAGTACTATTATTTAGATTTCACCTAATAATTAGGTTCTTTGTTACCCCCCAAGTATGGCCGATTTACCCCCGGAGGGGTAATTACCCCCAGGTTCGGAACCCAGGATCTAATATAATTTTTTAAACGGTACTTAGTCAATTACAGAAACTCACTGTATTCAATTCAAAAATTAAAACGATTACGTAGGGTACAAATAAACACTAATATAAAAGATCAATATGAAGTTCGCGAGAGTTATCTTTATATATATAACTAGCTGACCCAGCGAACTTCGTGCCGCCCTAAAAAAGAATCTTTATATATGTAATTCTTCTGTGAGTGTGTATGTCACCGAACTTCTCTTAAACGACTGGACCGATTTTGATGAATTTTTTTGTGTGCGTTCAAGGGGATCTGAGAACGGTTTAGATTCATAATTTTGTCCGCTGGACAACCCCTATTTTTTTAGGGCGGTACGAAGTTCGCCGGGTCAGCTAGTTTTCAAGTAAAACTTTCTGAAACACCTTCAAGAGATTAGAGAGCGAAATGAAATAAAACATCGTGTGCAGTGTGTAAAATAATTTATTATCGTGTAGTAGCGTAGTGTAGAGGATAGTGTTGGTGCGAGTCAGTGTATGGCGCGGCGCGAGTAGTGCAGCCCCAGCTCGTCGACGACCTGCTTCACGGCCTCCGCGCACGCCTCCAGCTGCTCGCGGGTGTGCGCCGCCGATAAGCAGAACCTGGACAAAACAAATAAAATAAATAATAATAAATATTTCCAACACTCACACCAATCAGCCTAGCCACAAAGTAAGCACTGTAAGGCTTGTGTTATGGGATGCTAGGGTAACGGATAGAATACATATACTGTATATATAATATTATAATTGTTACTCCTATTTTTAGAATTCATAGAGATGTCAAAATGTTTAATACCAGAATTGAAACTTTTAATCATTATTTGTATTCTAGTAATTGTCGTCATAGCTTTGCTTATTTGTTGGATTCATGTTTAGATTTACAATATACACATAAAATGTTTTCTTATATTCATGGAAAATTGAACAATTTTGGTTTTTTAAATATAATGAATCATTTGAGTAGACTAATCTCTAAACTTGATGAGTATAATAGCAAACATTTCTGTAAAAAAAATATCATATTTGATTCGCAAGATAAGGACTTAAATTTTTTTCGTGTATAAATCTTTAACTTTAATGCACCAAAATATTTGTGGACTTTTAAACAAAACAGATTTATTGGCAGTAGCAATGCATGAACTGACCTTAAAAAATAAATATGTGGACATACTTTGTATTACAGAGCATTTTATGCGCAAAGAGGACTTGAGTAATTTAAATGTAAACAATTATAAGTTAGCTACAAGCTACACAAGAGATATTTGTAGGGGAGGTTCTTGCATTATGATTGGTCATGCTTTTGACTACGAGGTTATCGATGTATCAAAATTCTGTATTAAAGGTGTGATTGAAGCATGTGCCATAAATTTGACTCGTGAATCTCTGACCGTTGTGTGTATCTCTATAGACCTCCTAACTCTGACATTGAATTATTTATGAATAAAATTGACTTACTATTAAATAAATTGTGCAATAATAATAAAAATATTATCATTTGTGGTGACTTTAATATTAATATTTTGAAGAAAAATAAATGGTCCATTGAATTTGAGAATTTGTTATTGAATTATAATTTGAAATTAGAAGTACGAGAACCAACTAGGTTAAGTAGTGGGACTTGCATAGATAACTTTGCACATAATGTTCGTGGCAGTAAAAGTGAGGTAACTGAACTTGCATTGTCTGATCACACATCACAAACCCTTCACTGTCCAGTCAACAAAACGTGTCGAATTAAATCTTGGCGTATTTGTAGGCGTGATTATTGCCAGGAAAATAAAAATAAATTTCATGAAGCTCTTAAGGCATTGAGTTTTTGTGATGTATATGAAGCGAATGATGTTAACAAAGCTTACAGTGCTTTTATAGAGACAGTTATGTTGTTTCACAATTTGTGTTTTCCTGAAAAATTAATGACCATAAAATCTAATAAAAGCCCCAAGTGGATCTCACAAGGTATCCGATTGTGTAGTAAACGAAAGCGACAACTGCTTTGGAGGTACAGATCTTGTCCAACCAAGGAAAATAAATATCTGCTCCGAACTTATTCCCAAAGATATAAAAAGATTATAAAGCTCACACAACTTTCACAAAATAACCATTATATCAGCACATCTGTTAATAAATCTAAAGCAGCATGGCAAGTTATTAACAAAAATAAAAATCAGTTCCCTGCAGAAACAGCGCAACTAATTTATAATGTAGATGGTGTAAAAGTAAGTGATCCAACAAAAATGGCAAATTTATTTAATAATCACTTCGTGGATTCAGTACAAAAAGCTAACAATAGTGGTCGTTCTTATTCACAGAGGTTTTCCGTGTCTAACTCGATATTTATGCCTCAAAGTACAATCGAGGTGGTACTTAAAACCATAAAATCATTAAAAATGACGCAAAGTGTTGGAATAGATGGTATTCCTACTAAATTGGTTAAGGAGTTTTCTAAATATTTAGCATCCCCCTTAAATCATGTGATAAATTTGATGTTTGATTCCGGCGTGTTTCCTGATGCGTTAAAAATTGCTATTGTTAAGCCAATATATAAAAAAGGAGAACACACTAACATAAAACACTATAGACCAATAGCCCAATTAAATGTTATCTCAAAGATATTTGAAAGAATTATCTGTGACAATCTTTACCAATTTTTTGAGAAATATCATTCTCTGTCTGTCTGTTATTAATTCTGTTGATCAAAGACAACATGTATGTGCGATATTTATGGACATGACAAGCGCGTTTGATCATGTTGATCACAGATTGCTGCTGGACAAGCTTTACTCATACGGTGTAAGAGGTATACTGTTATAACAAAGTTGTGTAGTAAATCGGGAATGATAAAGACATTTTCATCAGTTTGTAGAGATGTGGAAGTAGGTGTACCACAAGGCAGCATAGTAGGACCTTTGTTTTTCAATGTGTACATAAATGATCTATCAACTGTTATTGATCACCCTATCATAATGTTTGCCGATGATAGTACTGCCATAATCAAATGTGATGACATCCTCACTTACGAACAAAAAATAAATGTAGCTCTGAAAAATGTTAATGACTGGTTAAAATTAAACAACCTAATACTTAATACTAATAAAACAAAAATAATGCATTTTAGGCAAAAAACTCACAAACCGAATGTAACTTTAGATATTAATAATGACATAATTGAATCAGTCTCTGACATTAAATTTCTAGGTGTACAAATTGACTATCAAATGAATTGGAAATCTCATACTGAGATGCTTTGCAAAAGGTTATGTTCCTCTGCTTACGTCATGTTCAAGCTTTCTAAGATAGCAAACACCAAGACCGTCGTAATGGCCTATCATGGATGTATAGAATCCATATTACGCTATGGGTTAATATTCTGGGGCAATTCTACAAATAAAACAATGGTCTTTAAAGCACAAAAAAGATGCATCAGGGCTATTAAGGGTTTAAAGTCTACTGATAGTTGTGAGGAGGTCTTTAAGCAGTTGAAAATTTTGACATTACCTTCCTTATATATTTATGAAGTTGCAGTGTTCGTCAAAAATAACTTCCATATGTTTCCTACATTTATAGAACAGAATTCGCATAGGAACTATAGACGAGGGATAGGGAATACATTATGTGCAATGGAACGTAAAACTGCACTATTTAGCAATAGTGTCTTTGGGATGGCTACTACAATTTTTAACAAAATACCCAATAATATAAAGAGTTTGCCAATGACTATGTTTAAGAAACGCTTAATGAAACTATTAATTGACAAAGTATACTATAATACACAAGAGTTCCTTAGTGATACTTCCTTGAAAAAAATGGACATAATTACGTAATTAACTTATATTTTAGTCTATTATAGCACAATTTATTATTATTATTAGTTTGACATATTGCTTAGTAATTTTGACATTTAATTCTATCTATGACTTGTTTTATTGTAATTGTAATTTATTAATATGGAATTTTATATAATTGTAAACCTAATTATTTCATAAAAAATATTGTATACCTTGTAATAAGGTCGAAATGTAGTGACACTAAACTTTTATCCTAACACCAATTTGCTGTACTAACCTACATTTCACAATAAAGCATTTGAATTTGAATTTGAATTTGAATTTGAATTTGAATTTGTACACATATAAGTATATTTATATAGAAATACATATTAAACATCCATGACTAGAGTACAAATGCTCGTATTCATCACACAAACATCTGCCCCCACCGGGATTCGAACCCGGGACCTCTCGAGTCGGCGACACCATGAAACCCGGCGTACAAACCACTCGGTCACGGAGGTCGTCACTCTATAAATAAATAAACATTTATTTTTCTAGTAAACTTTTCTTTAGATTTAAACATCTAGCAGTTAAATGCTTAAAAATAAATAAAAACATAACAATAATTTTTCTTTCAAATGTTTAGTACTTGAAAAAGTATTCGTTTGACATTGTGGGTTACCTACAATGCGAAGAGATAGCGCTGCCTTGCAGTTAAGGCTAGGAAAATTTCGACGCGGCTAATAGGGCCGTGGTAGCATAATGGTCAGTGCATTCGCCCGGATTGCGAAGGATGCGGGTGTTCGAGTCCCGTCCGCTGCCTGGTCCGCGTGGATTTTTTCTAGTAAACTTTTCTTTAGATTTAAACACCTAGCAGTTAAATGCTTAAAAAAAATCATACATAAACATTTGTTATATTTTCTATTTTTAATCGTTTAACTGCTAGATGTTTGAAGCTAAAGAAACTTTTACTAGGCGAAGGGGGCCAATCGCCTAACGGGATTGGTATAGCTATCGCTTAAGATTTCATTTTGTTATTTCTGGCTGCCTGAGGTTTTTTGATGTGTAACATCTTTCCTCTCGCTTTCCTGCAATTTGTGGGAGTGATTTCGTGAAACGACACGGAAGTGTGTAGCAAGAAGTCGCGTAAGCGCGCGCTATTTGATTTGATTTTAAAACATTATGTTTAAATGACTTATTCCTTTTGTAGCACGTTTTATTATTTCTTTTTGTACTAATATAAGGTGAGGTTTCAAATGTTACACATCATACGCGAATACTGTAAGGTTCGCTCGTTTTTTCTTCTTTCCTCGCTTTCCTTATTTTCTTTAGAAAAGGAGCTCATGTTATTTAGTCATGTTTATGGAGTCCATAAAAACCAGCGTGTGTGTTACCGTATGCGCGCCTGGTTGAGGGGCGTGGCGGGGAAGCCTCGGCCGACGGTGGCGAGGCCGGCGCGCGCCAGGCGCTCCACGGTGCGTGTGTATAGTTACCGTATGCGCGCCTGGTTGAGGGGCGTGGCGGGGAAGCCTCGGCCGACGGTGGCGAGGCCGGCGCGCGCCAGGCGCTCCACGGTGCGTGTGTATAGTTACCGTATGCGCGCCTGGTTGAGGGGCGTGGCGGGGAAGCCTCGGCCGACGGTGGCGAGGCCGGCGCGCGCCAGGCGCTCCACGGTGCGTGTGTATAGTTACCGTATGCGCGCCTGGTTGAGGGGCGTGGCGGGGAAGCCTCGGCCGACGGTGGCGAGGCCGGCGCGCGCCAGGCGCTCCACGGTGCGTGTGTATAGTTACCGTATGCGCGCCTGGTTGAGGGGAGTGGCGGGGAAGCCGACGCCGACGGTGGCGAGGCCGGCGCGCGCCAGGCGCTCCACGGTGCGTGTGTATAGTTACCGTATGCGCGCCTGGTTGAGGGGAGTGGCGGGGAAGCCTCGGCCGACGGTGGCGAGGCCGGCGCGCGCCAGGCGCTCCACGGTGCGTGTGTATAGTTACCGTATGCGCGCCTGGTTGAGGGGCGTGGCGGGGAAGCCTCGGCCGACGGTGGCGAGGCCGGCGCGCGCCAGGCGCTCCACGGTGCGTGTGTATAGTTACCGTATGCGCGCCTGGTTGAGGGGCGTGGCGGGGAAGCCGACGCCGACGGTGGCGAGGCCGGCGCGCGCCAGGCGCTCCACGGTGCGTGTGTATAGTTACCGTATGCGCGCCTGGTTGAGGGGCGTGGCGGGGAAGCCTCGGCCGACGGTGGCGAGGCCGGCGCGCGCCAGGCGCTCCACGGTGCGTGTGTATAGTTACCGTATGCGCGCCTGGTTGAGGGGCGTGGCGGGGAAGCCTCGGCCGACGGTGGCGAGGCCGGCGCGCGCCAGGCGCTCCACGGTGCGTGTGTATAGTTACCGTATGCGCGCCTGGTTGAGGGGCGTGGCGGGGAAGCCGACGCCGACGGTGGCGAGGCCGGCGCGCGCCAGGCGCTCCACGGTGCGTGTGTATAGTTACCGTATGCGCGCCTGGTTGAGGGGCGTGGCGGGGAAGCCTCGGCCGACGGTGGCGAGGCCGGCGCGCGCCAGGCGCTCCACGGTGCGTGTGTATAGTTACCGTATGCGCGCCTGGTTGAGGGGCGTGGCGGGGAAGCCTCGGCCGACGGTGGCGAGGCCGGCGCGCGCCAGGCGCTCCACGGTGCGTGTGTATAGTTACCGTATGCGCGCCTGGTTGAGGGGCGTGGCGGGGAAGCCTCGGCCGACGGTGGCGAGGCCGGCGCGCGCCAGGCGCTCCACGGTGCGTGTGTATAGTTACCGTATGCGCGCCTGGTTGAGGGGCGTGGCGGGGAAGCCTCGGCCGACGGTGGCGAGGCCGGCGCGCGCCAGGCGCTCCACGGTGCGTGTGTATAGTTACCGTATGCGCGCCTGGTTGAGGGGCGTGGCGGGGAAGCCTCGGCCGACGGTGGCGAGGCCGGCGCGCGCCAGGCGCTCCACGGTGCGTGTGTATAGTTACCGTATGCGCGCCTGGTTGAGGGGCGTGGCGGGGAAGCCGACGCCGACGGTGGCGAGGCCGGCGCGCGCCAGGCGCTCCACGGTGCGTGTGTATAGTTACCGTATGCGCGCCTGGTTGAGGGGCGTGGCGGGGAAGCCGACGCCGACGGTGGCGAGGCCGGCGCGCGCCAGGCGCTCCACGGTGCGTGTGTATAGTTACCGTATGCGCGCCTGGTTGAGGGGCGTGGCGGGGAAGCCTCGGCCGACGGTGGCGAGGCCGGCGCGCGCCAGGCGCTCCACGGTGCGTGTGTATAGTTACCGTATGCGCGCCTGGTTGAGGGGCGTGGCGGGGAAGCCTCGGCCGACGGTGGCGAGGCCGGCGCGCGCCAGGCGCTCCACGGTGCGTGTGTATAGTTACCGTATGCGCGCCTGGTTGAGGGGCGTGGCGGGGAAGCCTCGGCCGACGGTGGCGAGGCCGGCGCGCGCCAGGCGCTCCACGGTGCGTGTGTATAGTTACCGTATGCGCGCCTGGTTGAGGGGCGTGGCGGGGAAGCCTCGGCCGACGGTGGCGAGGCCGGCGCGCGCCAGGCGCTCCACGGTGCGTGTGTATAGTTACCGTATGCGCGCCTGGTTGAGGGGCGTGGCGGGGAAGCCTCGGCCGACGGTGGCGAGGCCGGCGCGCGCCAGGCGCTCCACGGTGCGTGTGTATAGTTACCGTATGCGCGCCTGGTTGAGGGGCGTGGCGGGGAAGCCTCGGCCGACGGTGGCGAGGCCGGCGCGCGCCAGGCGCTCCACGGTGCGTGTGTATAGTTACCGTATGCGCGCCTGGTTGAGGGGCGTGGCGGGGAAGCCTCGGCCGACGGTGGCGAGGCCGGCGCGCGCCAGGCGCTCCACGGTGCGTGTGTATAGTTACCGTATGCGCGCCTGGTTGAGGGGCGTGGCGGGGAAGCCTCGGCCGACGGTGGCGAGGCCGGCGCGCGCCAGGCGCTCCACGGTGCGTGTGTATAGTTACCGTATGCGCGCCTGGTTGAGGGGCGTGGCGGGGAAGCCTCGGCCGACGGTGGCGAGGCCGGCGCGCGCCAGGCGCTCCACGGTGCGTGTGTATAGTTACCGTATGCGCGCCTGGTTGAGGGGCGTGGCGGGGAAGCCGACGCCGACGGTGGCGAGGCCGGCGCGCGCCAGGCGCTCCACGGTGCGTGTGTATAGTTACCGTATGCGCGCCTGGTTGAGGGGCGTGGCGGGGAAGCCGACGCCGACGGTGGCGAGGCCGGCGCGCGCCAGGCGCTCCACGGTGGCGGCCATCTTGCTGAACGTGTACACCAGCACCGGCACCACGGGCGACGCCGCGGCGCCGTACATTACCACGCCCATCGAACGCAATCTGCGGGACCATAAAAGTCAAAATCTTTATTCAATATTTTTTCCCCTGCCACCATTTTTTTAGCTCTGGAGAAAAACTGGCAAAAAAACTTCACAACGTTAAATAATTATGAAACAATATTTACAAAAAATTATATTGTTACGGTTTGACACCGTAACAATATAATTTTTTGTAAATCATCAAAATCATTTTCATTATGATTATAGAAAAAGCCTGCCGGAACTTTCGGAACAGTTTAAACCCAAGCACTTTTGTCTGAAATATAATGAGACACTTTATAATAGGTTTTATTAATAAGAACTCTTTTAATGGTACTTTAAAATTTATTGACGCTTAATTTTTGGATATTGCTAAGGACTTCATTGTAGAAGCGTACACAAAGACCTTTCAATGAATTATTGATTTAGTGGAGCCTTGTATTTGGTACAGCTAATTTATTTTTATTTCTTATATTAAGCGAGTGCTTATCACTTTTTTAGAGGAAATAATGTAATATTTTTTCCAATAAATTAAATTTTCATAAATGCACTGAGAAACAACAGTCATTATATCGATTTCTTTAAATTTTTCTCTTAAAGAGTCCCTAGTCTTAAGATTGTAAATTGATCGAACAGCCCGCTTCTGCAGCACAAAAATAGTCGGAATGTCGGCAGCATTTCCCCACAGCAAAATACCGTACGACATCACACTATAAAAATAACTAAAATGAACTAATCGAGCAGTATCTACGTCAGTTAATTGGCGTATCTTCATTACTGCGTAGGTGTATTTAAATAATGGAGTTATTTTGCTGTGTTTCATGAGAACAGGAGAAACACCACAGTCAATACACTGGTTAAATATGTCAGCTAATATTGGAGCTATTGTTTTAACCACTGATTTTGAGACATCAACGGAATTTCCCCACAGATCAGAGATTTCCTTATTATTTAATTGGTCAAAAGACTTTTTTATATCATAAGAATTAATATATTGATATTTAAACTGATTTTTTTTTTACTGACATTTTAGGTTCAACCACCGAATCTTTGAGCTCCTCCCCCATTGAAGCCGAGTCTAAATAGTATTACAATTTTTCATACTTTCTTTTGAAATAGACTCGGCTTCAATGGGGGAGGAGCTCAAAGGTTTGGTGGTTGAAACTAAAATATCAGTAAAAATGGGTGCGTGTACTTATGTAGGCGCGTGAGAAGTTATCCTTCTTTGGCATCGTTTAAAATTAGTTTTTAATTGCATGCAAATAATTAATTACAATAAATTAATAAAAAGTCTGGAAAAGGACACAGTCAATAAAGTTCAGTTTTAATTTGAAAAAACCGGCCAAGTGCGAGTCGGACTCGCGCACCGAGGGTTCCGTACAAACCTGCAAGGTTTACAAAGTTCGTTCATTACGACAATCGAGTCATAACTATGGTATTTTTATTGCAAAATGAAATTCATAACATTACAATGGGGAAAGATGGAGGAGCATAAATTTAAGACAAAGATCTCTTTATCGTTTAAGTAATCCTTTATTTTATATTAACACATATCATTTATCTATAATATAACTGAAACACTTATACTAGCCTTGCAGCAGACTTGCGAAAGTTCTTTTATTAAAGTTATTTATTTACTAAGTTTTTTAGTCACTATTTAGAAATCTGGTTCAAAAATATTAATAAGGTATTATAATAATGTCATTGAATTTAATTATAAGTATAACACTTTAAGCAGTTAGGACGCATTTAGATTATACAGCTACATTCACCAAAACATCGGGATTGAATGACGATGAGTGAGGTCGTCTTTGCCGTTTGAAAAATGTTGCCCTCCCCATACATAGTATAATAACTCGCGGTCATTGCTGTAACTACAATTATGTTTACAATCACAATTTTTTTGGTGGTATAACTACTTAAAATTTTAAGCTTTTCGGAATTTTTCTGTTACCTGTGCTGTAAGCTATTGCTTCTTACCAAATTTCGAGATTCTATGTCAACGGGAAGTGGTCTTTAGGTTTTAATTCCCTTGCGTGTAGTTGCGAGTTTCAAAATATGCGGTATCAATGGTTGTACTTTTGCGTTTTTGCGTTGACTTAGAATTTTTTTTTTTTTACGGGTTAAAGGCAATTAGATCTAAGTATTTGATATGAATTTCAACTTGATAGCTCTACGCGTTCATGAGGAAAAAAGTAATAAGTTTATATTTATTAAAAAATATATATTTTGTAATGTAACTAAAAATTTAAGGTTTTCGGAATTTTTCCTTTATGTGTGCTATAAAACGTTGCTTCATGCCAAATTTCAAGATTCTAGGTCGACTGGAAGTACCCTTTAGGTTTTGATTCCCTTGCGAGTACTTGCGAGTTTCAAAATATGCAGCTTAAATTGCTGTTTCTTTTGATTGCGTTGACATAGAAGTTTGATTTTGTTACAGCTTAAAGGTTTTATAGACCTGAGTATTTGGTATGAATTTCAATTTAATACCTCTACGCGTTTATGAGGAAATGGGTAGTAAGGTTAAAATTATAAAAAAAAAATATATTATGTGATGAAACTAAAAATTTATGGTTTTCGTAATTATTCCTTTATCTATGCTATAAGACGTTGCTTGGTACCAAATTTCAAGATTCTGAGTTCACGGGAAGCACCCTGTAGGTTTTGATTCCCTTGCAAGTGTCGAAAATTTGCGGCATAAACGGCTGTATCTTTTGATTGCGTTGGCTTAGAAGTTTGATTTTTTCACAGCTTCAAGGGACAGTAGACCTGAGTAATTGATATAAATTTCAGCTACATACCTCCACGCGTTCCTGAGAAAAAGGGTCTTGACAGACGGACGGACGGACAGACGGACAACAAAGTGATCCTATAAGGGTTCCGTTTTTCCTTTTGAGGTACGGAACCCTAAAAATAAATAAATAATCAAAATATTCAATTAAAATCGCTGCTGAATATAATTTATTAGAACATATGTGATTTGCACTTGTATGAAACTCAAACACGTATTCCGAATATACAAACTAGAAACATGTGGATAAATAATATGAATACCTATAACTGTTACTTTATTACAAAAAATAAAGATGTGGTTTTTGGTTCTACTACACCAATGGTCAAGAGATGGCGCTGTAGTCTCCTGAATCGCGCTTTGGTTCCGTTGTTCCAGATTAATAAATACTTTTGATAGGCCTTCACAATGCAGTCGTTAGCACCCATTAAATAGAGATTCTATTTCTATTTTGTTGGTAGATTTTCTTAATGTGCGGTAAACACAAAAGTAACGCATGAAGTTTGTCGCCAAAGCGACCAACTTCATGCTGTTAAAATTTTGTGTTACAGTGATGCGCGCGCATCTTAAAATTTCACTTTCATCATTTTTTCATAACGCGCCTAAAGAAGTATAACTTCAAAAAAAAATCAAAAAATCTAATTCAGTGCCAACTTCAATGTCTGATGTAACTTTTTTATTTTTAATGTGTAGATTATAATCTGTATTTCTGATTTGAGACTTTGCAGTTTCATTATTTATAATATAAAAATAAGTGGGGTTTTCCTTCCTGACGCTATAACTCCAGAACACACGAACCGATTTCCATGGTTTTGCATTTGTACGGTTCAATAAACCGCACAATATAATTTATTTTACATTTTATATTTTGCAGCATTGCATTTTTACTTTGGTGTGTCGAATCTAGAACGCGACGCATCATTCTACGTTTCAACCGCGACTCATAAACTCCATACACTATTTCATTAGTCAAATAAGTTTCGTGTGCCAATAAACGGTATCTCTGTAAAATCCATTTTCTTTTCTTGTACGTACACACATCCCGTACAAACTGGTCCTTCGAGTCTCCGAAGGCGGGACCAAATTTGTGTGATCAAGTGCTTGGTTAAGCCGTGTGAGTGTTTGAAATCAGGACACCACTCTGCCACGTCGAGTTACGTAAGTCACAAGTCCGGTCTTTGGTGAGTTATCTATTGCTTTCAAGTTATTTTACAAACATGGAAGAACTTTTGAGTATCAGAACCGCATCATGGAAACTATGAACACTCTTCTCGTTAATTTCAAGAAAGATGGGTCCGAGCGCAAAACTCTAACTTATCTCAAAAATCGACTGAGCACGTTAGAAGGTTACTGGCATGAATTTCAATGTAACCACATCAAACTCTGTGAGTATGACGACAAATCCCACGAATATTTCACGAGCAATGAATACAAACGAATATCAGAATTTTACATTGATACACGAGCACACATACAAACATACTTGCCCTCTGGTACACAAACGGAGGGAAAACAGCTTCTGCGTACGGCTACACCATTAGCTAGCGAAGGGCGAGAAACGTTTTCTCGAATCGCATCACCCGCAGAACAGCAGGCAAAAGGTCCATTTGAGCTTCAAACTACGCGCAGCAGCACCGACCGGGGAACCAGCAGCAAGCTGGACGAGATGCTCCGCAAGCAAAAGAGCAACTTCAAGGCGTTCTCCAGGACGGTCAGTAATATCAACCTTGATAATATCTCCGACAGGTGGGAGTTCGAGGATGTGTTAAGATCTGTGCAAGCGAGATGGTCCGTCATAGATTCCCTACATTGGGAAATAGATAGCGAGCTCTACGAAGACACAGAGTACGAGCAAGCCTTTGGTAGGTACGAACAGCAGTTCAACGACATCAAGAGAAATATCAACTCCAAAATGTGGAATCAATGTCATCGAGAAAAATCGACTCCACAGATGGACATACCTATTTTTACTGGAAACTATCATCAGTGGGTGTCCTTCAAGGATTTATTCGTAGAAGCGATACATAATAACCGCTCCTTATCGAACGCCCAAAAATTACAGTTTCTCAAGAGTAAACTTCGAGGTGAAGCAGAAAAGTTGGTGCAACATTTACCAATCACATCCGAAAATTATGAGGTGAGTTGGGATATACTGAATCGCAGGTACAATAATGCGAAGCTTATATTCAATAGCCATGTCAGCATCTTACTAAACTTACCTTCCATACAAC